TTTCGCCTTCACTTCTCTCTTCATCTCCTTTACGACGGCTTCGTACGGCGCCACCGCCTCTCTCAGCATTCCTCTTCCGCTGTCGTTTTTCCTCCAGCCACCGCTTCCGGTGCCTCTCATCCTCCTGAATCTCTCCCTCAGCGAACCGATCCTTCTCAGCTCAGCCACCATCGCCATGTCAGCGTCGTGCATCTTCTCCGGATCCCACGGCGAGTGAGCGTCCTGAAGCGCCACGTAAGCTCTCTTCAAAGCTGCTGCCGCCGTGAAAACTTCCTCCATCACCATCTCCATATCCTGCACCGCCTCCACACTCACGCCGCTCCCTCCGCTCTTGCCCTTAGCCCTAACTGTCTCCTCTTTGCCATTCTCCTTCTCCAATGCGTCTTCGTACTGAATCTCTCCTTCCTCCTCCTCCATGTCCTCTTCTTCAGTATCGCAATCTCCCCGGCGGTTCCCAGCGAGATCTTGCCGGCCGGCGGAGAGTGGATGCAACAAACAAGAAGCCGTCACTCGCTGAATCAGATCCGAGAAGTTTGAAACCTTGTTCGTCATTTCTCCTCGCTTCTTCGCCTTGCAGAGCTCGCCGGTCCGACTGCAAACGCCGTCAAAGTACCAGAAATGGTGAGGAAATTAAAAGACAAGAGATCAAACCTCCGGAATCCATGAAAGCTTACCTTCGGGAATGATGATTGTTGTTCTCCGACCGCAAAGCAAATCTCGGAGGATCTCGATTGAACTGAACTGAGTACCAGTACTCAATGTCCTTTGGCTCAGTATCTAAGCTCTCTCGATCACTCTTCTTCTTCTTACTGCACAGTGAAGAAAACCGACTCCGACAGTTAACGCCACCGGAATAATTAATTCTCCGGCCAACGACAGAAATAACCGGAGATTTCTGGTTATTATTTTATACTAATCTCTCAGAGAGTCAGTGGAGAGAAGAAGTGGCAATAAGAACTGATTTCGTAATTTACCGAATTACCCCCTTTGATCTTATTACGATTTGACTCGTAAAAGCTTTACCTCGATTTTGGGCCCTCGGGAAAAGTTTTGGGTCTTTCCACAACTTTCTTGTTTTCACAATCGCACATGGTCCTCTTCAAGCCAATATTTTATTTTTGTTAACTAGCCACTACCATTTTTCTAATTTCAAGCTTAATTTTATATATAAACGCAACACACTCAAATCGTCTTCATCGTTTATTACATTTGGTTTTTTCTTCTATATAATTATAACTTTCTACCTTAACCATTTAAATTTTCTTAAAAGAAAGATAAGTTTGTTACGTAGTTTAATTTTTTACATACTCTGTTTTTTTTGTTTTGTATTCTCCCTTAAAAGACAAAGAGAAATATGTAAAGTAGTCATTATTAGTTGGTAATTGTTTTACTAGTACTTTAATTTTTTGTTAAATAACTCTTTTGATTGGTCGAGGAAGTGATTCCGATCCATAAAGTCATGACATGGATCGTGCCTTAATCCAAATCATATAGAAAATCATTGTCCTTTCTTGTATGAACAGTATGATATATCAATATATATCGATAAATCCAAATTTATCATGAAACCCCGTTTCAAGAAAAACACTTTTAAACTCATCATACTGAACAAAAATCACAAAACATATTTATTACCAACGAGAAAAAGAAGGAATATTCACCTGTGATTCCTGGGATTAAGTGAACATAAAAGTATGCCTGGCAACATTCTCTCTCACTCTCTCTCTCTCTCGCACAGACACACAAATGAAGAAGAAAATTGTGTGAAATTGAGGTTCAAAGTTTGGCATCTAAATAGAGCATTCAATAGAAGATTTTAGGGAAACAGGCCAATGAGAAAAAGGGATTTGATGTGACAAGTATCAAATTTATTATTTAATAATGAATATAATTGAGGGGTGGGATTTTTTCCTTGTATTAGGTTTCGACATCTAGCTATTTGTTGTGTAGTTTGTTTGTTCTTACAACTCATTTAAACTTTACTCGATATCTAAAAACATAATTGGAGTTAGAATCATAAGCCGCTCATAAAAATTATAGAAATGGTCAAACATCAGATAATCTTTCATAAATCGGATTATTTTGTGACAATCAAGATGTTAAATCAATGAATTGCTTAAGCTAGAAAAATTTAAACCACTATAATCTTGAAAATCCTTTCCAAATTATTGTTAATTAGATGATTGCTTTGAATATAATTGTCTATCTTTTCTATGCCTCCCTTGTCTTTTTATAGATGATCGATCCTCACTAGCCCTAGTTCTTGTTAGTTGATTGCTTTAAAAGTGAAGTATGGAGTCAAACTTTCTCTTCGTCACTAGATCAGTTTTAATTTTGACTCCCATGCAATGCTACCTCAAATTTTCTCACAGCTCTTTCATTAAATTTGTTTTCTTCTCTTAACCCTAATTAATCCTTTGCAAGTTTGACTAAAGAGTAAAATCATACTCAGTACGTGGTTCTATACATAGACTACACGAAAAACAAAAGTGGAAACCATCGAAGAGCTTTTCTAAGTTTCCAACCAACAGTTTTGACAAATCCAGTTCTCCCATTATTTTATAGATTATATTGTACCAACATTTGTATTGTGTTTTAGATGCAACAATGATGAACAGAGTTTTTAAATTTAAAGCTGGTACATGTCTCTTGTAAATATCTAAGACAAGGTTTTCAAAATTTTAAATATTTTTCTTCTCTTTTTTGGTATCCATTTTTATTCCACTCCGTTTAGCTTTGATCGCTAATTTAAATGTAAGACTATATATGGTCCAAACAAAGATCTGCTAAAACACAAAGCATAAGTGTGTGTAATTGAGTATTTTCCAATGATAAACTAGGTACAAATCTTTCAATAAAGTTACCGAGTTACCATACAGATTTGTTAACATAGCTAGGGTTATTAAAGTATATGTAAATCAATTTTTGGATATTCTTATGAAAAGAACAATAGCAGTATTATTAATCAATGGTAATTAGAAGGAGAATCATAGAATAATGGGTGTAAATACGATGATCGGATCGAGTAAGAGGAAAGGGTATGTCCAAAGGTGTAGGACATGAGCAGGCACGGAGACAAAGTGATGTGTGGTGTCCCCCAAAATTAACTCTGTTGTTAAGCACTTGTGTTTTACCAATCTTTTGGACTCACCCTCTTCAATCTTGCTTTCTCATTTATTCCTCTACGCTTATTTATCTTGGCTATTTTGTTTGTTTTCTTCGTCCACACATATATTTATATACATATCATGATATCATATTGGGATATATAGAGATATCTGTAAAAATATAGTGTAAAAAGAGGACAGTATAGTCCTCCAATATACTTAATTAGGTAGATAAAAAGAGGAATTTGTAAAAAGACCACAATTTTTTAGGCATTGTTTGCAAAAATACAGTATTTTCTGCTTGTTATAAAGAATACCACTAAGGTACACAGTACAAAATTCCAAAGTTACTCTAATTATATTGGAAAAAAATAGTTTTAAACAAAAATCCATTGTTCATCGATTCAGAAAATAAATATAACTAGGAAAAATATATGAGTGAAGTTTTATCAAGAAAATCATGCATGGTAGATTACGTAGTCATAATGTTTAATACCTTGATATTATTTTTGAAAGATGGTACATCAAAAGTAGTCTCTCATCATCAAATTGCTCTTAAAAAAAAAGAGTGGTAGAAACTAATAAACAACATACATACCTCAGTCATTTTTGTACCATTCATCCAGTTAATACTGTTTATGTCAGTGAATATTAAACTACCCTTTAAAAATATCATAGTAATTTGTTTTTATTGGTTTTTTACACAATATAAAATTAATTAACCAGTCTAACAAAATATTCAGTTTTCTAAGGCATAACTTTTAAAATTGTTATCCAAACGAAATGATTACTGTCTCCTATGGTTACCACCTCCATATCCAGAGACAAGGCTGTGTCACTGATTCTGAGGTTTCAAGCCTCCATCTTGAGATTTTGTAAGGAACGTAACGGAAGACTTCACTCATTTGCCTCTCGAGCAGCGTCGGCCATTATCGCACGTGGGATTTTTGAACAGGAGATCATAATGGAGAAGGAAACATGGTTTATGATTTATGAATCATATAAACGCACTCTCATTGATAGAGATGGCTCCAGAAAGATCATCATAGAAGGATGAACAAGTTGAAGCCCAAGAAACAGATTAATCAGATATTGACCAAGCTGAAGCTACCAAAAGGGTTGATAGATTTTGAGTTAATTGGAACAGAAGCTAACGGTACACTTTATATAAGGACAACTATGAGGTCAAAGGCATAATAAGACCTCCAAAATTTCTTGAAGGTCTCACATTATCAAGTCAAGTTTCCTTGTCATCGTTTGAGTTATATATGGTGCTTGCTTATTCTACTCTGCAATTCTGTTTAATGTTTTTTTTTTTTTTTTTTATTAAAGTTCATAAAGATTCAATATATAAATAAAAATCAAGTTACCTCTGTTTAATTAAGTCGTACCTATATACATATGCCCCCTTTACATGTTCACGTGAGGTTGCAGAGTACCACTGGTTCATTAACCTTATCTCCTTCTGTAATTATCTTCTTAATTAATCTGGATGATATCAGTTTTTAGACCAAAAAAAAATTAATCTGAATAAGTTGCTACCGAAAAAAATAAACAAAAACAAAACAAATCGAAATAAGTAAACTGTATATACGATTTAAAATGGAAAAAAGGAAAAGTCAGCGAGATGTCGGTAGATAAAAGTCCTATTCCGAAAAAGTATTAATCTGTCTTTTGTTATATAAATACGCATCATTAATTATCTACACAGATCGCATCATTAACACAGTCTCTCTCACTCTCCCTCAATCGCACAACAAATCCCTAATTTTCCGTAAAGAGTAATTGCTTTGTGTTGTGTTATACCATTATTCACAAACCCTCGATCCGAGTACTTTTCTTAAGAAAGTTTTTCTTTCCATAACCCTCATAAACACTAAGAAGCAAGAGAAGATGGCGGACGAATATGGAGATATGATTTACTTTGATCCCTACGACGACGAACTCATCAACAGCTATCTAATTCCCAAGTTGAAAGGTACGCTCGAAGAAACCTTCATATTGGACATGGACGTTTACGCCAAGGAGCCATGGTTGCTGCACCACACCGAGGATCCTTTTTTCAAGAAGGACGAGTGGTACTACTTCGTCACAAGGACTCAAGTCTCTGCCAAGAACAACGGTTGTGGTAAGAAGGCGAAGCGGAAGATCAACGATGACAACGATCGCGGGTGTTGGAAGGCGAACGCGAAAGAAAATATCATCGACTATAAAACAAGGAAGGTCATTGGGGTAAAGCAAACCCTAACTTTCACTAAAAGCAACGAAAACAAGAAGAGGCAGAAGAGAGGAGACGGTACTTCTTCATGTGCTATTGCCCCACGCAGCAACAACAGCTGGATTATGACAGAGTATATGCTTCCGGGAGGAGATCAGTTTCAAGAACTGGTCCTGTGCAAGATCCACGAGATTAATAAGTCCAAGAAGAAGGACGATCATCATGAAGCATCAACTTGTTGCCATCCTCATCATCTTGAATCTTGTTCCTCGGAGCAGCAGCCGATCAATACTGATCACGAGTCTTCTCTAGAGCAGCAGCAGACATTATCATGCGGTGGTAATGGACCCGAGATTACGCACCTGGAAACGACGAGAAACATGGTTCATCAAAAAGATGCAGACTCAAAGATCGAGATGTTTCCAGAAAGATCAGCAGAGAAGGATGCACAAGCTGAAGACACGGAGTTGGAAAATTGGATTGCAGATCTGATGGACAAATTCACAACCAAAGAGATGGAAGCTATTGTCAACGACGATGTTCAACAAATACCAGAAGAAGATGATCAACAACGACCATTAATCACCGCTCTTCCTCAAATGATCGGGTTATGGATCGGGTTTGCATGTGGAAGAAGATGATCAAGACGTTCTGAATTACAATACTTCATGGATAGATCCGGACTTGCTTGATCAGTATGCTACTCTCCGCCCCCAAGAAAGGCTCTAAACTTTAGGGATCTGAGCATTGAAAATTTCTATAGATTCTGTAGTTATTAACAGTTATAGTTTGAATAGCTGTGGGATTATTAATTTATATGTAGTTATCCAATTGTGTGCATTAAACTTTCATTCATCAAATAAAAATACACGTTTCTTTATTTCTTAAAGCAATATAGAAATTATGCATGCAAAACTCTGTTTTCTTCATTGAAAAAAAACACTTAACAGATTGAAACGCAAGAAGGCCATATATAATTTCTTTTTTTTTTGAAAAATCTGTTAAGTTTTTTTTTTATGAAGAAAACAGAGTTTTGCATGCGACGAAAGTCGTCGAAATTGCACCAAACGGATACTTGGAAAAGAAGTAACCTATTTTTTTCCCCGGTTTTAATGTGATAAATTTGGTTAGAAGAATATTTCGGCGGTGTTTCTTTTGTGTTTTTTTTTCAACTTTGAGACTCCTAAGATTGCATTGGTTTCCGCAATTCATTTTTTATGTTGCGTTTCATATAGTTTATTCTGTTATTAGAAGCTCTAATCTCTCAACAAAAAAGGTTATTATAATTAAGCTCTAACAGTACGTCCTTTCTGATTATGGTAAACTATTTTATTTTAATCAAACAAAACAAAAATGTTCACTTTCTAATCTTTTTCATCAACTTTTTTGTCATGATACAAGTTTCGGGTTCAATTCCTCTATGCGGCTATGCGTATATCATTCTTCTTTAATGGATTTGAATATCAAATTCACTAACATCATGGCCTTTCATAAAGTAGGTTGGACCAAATTCTTATAAATGGGCCAAAATTAAGCCTTTAAATTTTTATTTGTAATATTTGATATAATCTTTTTTGATAATTTGAGCTTATCTCTCTATCAGATAGAATAATAAGAGCATATCAGAGATGCTGACAGACAGACTAATATGCTGTCGTTTTAACGTATTTTTCTTAAAATTCCAAAGAATTTTCTTTTTTCCACCTTTTATCTGTGAATAAAATAAAATAAAAATAATTAAATCCATCTAAAAAGGCGTAAGAGGTCTGGGATTCGTCAAAAAAGGTCTTCCAGAATCCAAACGTCTTATGGTTTAGCTCTCGAATTTCTCCATCGATTCCTTCTTCCTCCGGCTTCAAGTCGCCGGATCCTCCGGATTTCAAGTCGCCGGATCCTCCGGATTTCAAGTCACTTGATTTCCTTACGCCTTATGGTGTTTCTGATTCCGTGATTCAGGTAATATTAGCTGCTGAAAATCGGATTTTGTTTCCTTATTCGCTAACAGATCCATATTTATCGTCATTGTTGCCCGCAATAGCTCCTGCCGATTTGATCTTCTGAGTATTTCTGCTTGATTTTTGTAGGAAGAGGCATATGATTGGTGTAATTAAGGATTTCCGGCGATTTGGTGGGCGTGTGGAGAAATTTTCGAGTTTAGTATTGTTAGGAAACTTTTCCCTTTTCCTTATAGAGTTTGTGGATTAATGGTTGAAGCAGAAAAAAAATGGGGCTTTCATGTGTTTGAAAGGGTTTTGTTTTTTCGTGAAGATGCGATTGTTGGAGATTGCAAGTCATCTCATTCGTGTTCACGGGTTTGCTTGAAAAACTGAGAGTTTTGGTGTTTTTTTTAGTCTGAGAAGGTTTAGGCTTTTAGCATTTCAAGCGTCTTTAAAGTGATTTTTGTTCGAGCTTAGAGATGGACGAAGAGGCTACTTCTTGGATTAGGAGGACAAAGTTTTCTCAAACTGTTTCTTACCGTATGCATTCGTCAAAGCTAGCCTCTCTCCCTATTAAGGTAAACCATGAGAAGATCTCTGGGCTGAAAACAAGACCCCAGACATCATCATCATCAACTTCATCATCATCGGATCCGAAGCTGGTTTCAAGTGACTCACAGAAGCCTACGCAGGATCCCACGAGTTTGGAAGCTGGTACATATGTTGTTGATTCGGAAATACAGACAAACCCGGTAACTAATAAACATAGGTCTGTTTCTCCCTCGCCTCAGATGGCTCTTCCTGACGTGTTTAAGGAAGCTAGGTCTGAGCGTAAGAGATTCTCTACTCCACATCCGAGAAGAATGGACTCGGAGAAGGGAATGAGGCCGAAGCTATCACATAAAAACTCGTTTGAAAAGAGGTCGTTCAACTTGCGGTCTCCGTCGGTTCCTATCAGAGATTTAGGCACCCTGAGAATTCAAGAGAGGGTGAAGAGCAAGAAAGACACAGGATGGTCCAAGCTTTTTGATAGTGGTGGTCGTAGAGTGAGTGCTGCGGAAGCTGCTGAGGAGTTCCGCGTTGATATGTCGAAGCTGTTCTTTGGGCTGAGGTTTGCTCATGGGTTATATAGCCGGCTTTACCATGGAAAGTATGAGGATAAAGCTGTTGCCGTGAAGCTTATCACTGTGCCTGATGATGACGATAGTGGATGCTTGGGAGCTCGTTTGGAGAAACAGTTTACCAAGGAAGTCACCCTTTTGTCTCGATTGTGCCATCCAAATGTTATTAAGGTGATTCGAGTCTCTTTTATTATTTTCTTTAGGCCAGTCTAGGTGGAATGATAGCTATGGTTTGTGCTAAATTTTCTTCTCTTATTTGTTCGGTAAAACAGTTTGTGGGAGCGTACAAAGATCCGCCTGTATATTGTGTCCTCACGGAGTATTTACCTGAAGGATCTTTGAGATCTTTTCTCCACAAACCTGATAATAGGTCTCTTCCTTTGAAAAAACTGATAGAGTTTGCTCTAGACATAGCAAGAGGAATGGAATATATTCACTCACGACACGTAATTCATCGTGATCTCAAGCCAGAAAATGTTTTGATCGACGAAGACTTCAAGTTGAAGATTGCTGACTTTGGCATAGCGTGTGAGGAAGAGTACTGTGACATGTTGGCTGATGATCCAGGGACCTATAGGTGGATGGCACCTGAAATGATAAAACGGAAACCACACGGACGAAAGGCCGATGTTTACAGCTTTGGACTCGTTCTATGGGAAATGGTAGCTGGAGCAATCCCGTACGAGGACATGAATCCTATTCAAGCTGCTTTCGCAGTCGTACACAAGGTAAAATATTCTCTTCGTGTCTCCTTTCGTGAGTGTAATCTCTCTTGAACACAAGTATGTTTTTGGTACTTTGCTGTTCAGTTGTTTCAACCATTTGAGACCTGAAAAATGTTAATCTTTGGCTCAGAACATTAGGCCGGCTATCCCGGGAAATTGTCCAGCAGCCATGAAAGCTCTGATAGAGCAGTGTTGGTCGGTTGCGCCGGATAAGAGACCCGAGTTCTGGCAGATAGTGAAAGTGCTTGAACAGTTTGCGGCGTCACTGGAACGTGAAGGGTGCTTGAATCTGAGTTCAAACAAGATCTGCAAGGACCCAAGAAAAGGTCTGAAACATTGGATTCAGAAGCTTGGACCGGTCCACGGAGGAGGAGGAGGAGGCAGCAGCAGCAGCGGCCTAGGTGGCTCGGCCTTGCCTAAGCCTAAGTTCGCCTGAGAGATGTGAAGAATCTCTTTTGTAAATTTTATATATAAAAATACAAAAGAAGGGTTTTGTGTTGTGATGTGATGTGCTGTGTCCTGTCCTGTTTTGTGGGTTGTGATGTGATCTTTCATCTTTCATGTTCTCTGGATTTGTTGTGTAATGACGACAATCAAACTGGGGAATGGTTGTGATTTGATGTTTATGGGATTCAATATCCTTTCTACTTTACATATTTCTTTTGTGGAATTTGAATGGCTTAAACAAAATTAGTCGTTCAAAATACTGTTAAAGACTCCTATCAATCTAAGCTCATCATTGATGATAATATGATCAAATCTCTCTCAGTCGTCTGTTTGTGTTAGTTATCTCCTCTTTTACAAGTTGGAAACCTTTCACAATTATTGTAAGTTTAAATAAAGATTGTAATTCAGATTGTCTCAAATTTAAATTATAAAGAATTGCAAAAGAAAATCTTTTCTGCCAAAGGTACATGATTCTCTGTTTCATATGTTTTGCTCATCATTGATGATATAAAAAATTGTTTTGACTTTCGTCTTCCGCGTTTTCACATCTATGAATGTATTAGCTATTAAATATTTGGTTCGCGTTTTGTGTGAGTACTATTTACAAACCGATTAACAAAAAAGTATTCACAATTTTCTTTTATAATAAGATTGGAAAGAACAAAGAGTCAAAGAGATATCATCATACAATACAATGACAAAAAAAAAAAGAAAAAAAATTACAGTGATTATATGTGTATTTAGTATTCATCTAAGTAAAAAGATGTTTTCACAAACTGGTCTCATCAAGGAGAGAGTAACACAGTGCTGTTCTCATCGTCTATAATCCTCGGTAACACGTATCTGTCCGAATCACGACCCACGAAGCTGTGCGTTGCTGAAGAAGACGAAGAAACAGAGGCCGAGGAACAGATCACTGTCTCCTTCATCTCTCTCCTCATACCCCATAGCTTCTCCACACACCCTTTCATACCCGGTCGTGTAGCTCTCGTCTGAGTAACACATTCGCTCGCCAGTTTCAACATTTTCTCAGCCACTTCAATGGCGGCTCTGTTTCTCTTGAGCAATGGATCCATCACAAGAACAGCTTCATCGTCTTTGAGTTTCCTCAATGCCTGCACACAGAGATTCTTTTCATTTTGCGATCACTGAGAAGATTCTCTCTGAGCTTATGGTGAAGGAGGGTGACAAAGAGAAGCTAACTTTACCCATTTAACCGTGAGCCGATCTTTTCTCGGTCTCTTTAACTCAATGGGACGTCTTCCGGTGACAAGCTCAATGAGCAAAACACCAAAAGAGTAAACGTCGCTCTTGTCTGTTAGTTGAAACGTCCTGAGGTAATCTGGATCCACATATCCTGCAGATCCTTTGACCTGAGTCGATATATGAGTGGCCCCGGGTTCTTCAGAAACCAAACGAGCAAAGCCAAAATCTGCCACTTTAGCTCTGAGCTTATCTGTGATGAGAATGTTTGATGCTTTAATGTCTCTGTGTATAATTGGAGTATCTGCATTCAGAAAATGTAATTACATTCTTGGCACTCACGCTATACTGTAAGGTCAATAAAAACAGAGAAATTGGAAATGGACAAGATCAGTTACCTGTATAAGTGTGGAGATAGGTCAATGCATGAGCTACATCAATAGCAATCTCAAGACGTTGTGCCATTTCAAGGCGGTTACCTTTTAAACCTGCGTTTTGATAACAAAAGTTGAAGATTCTAAATTTGGAAACTTTCTCTTATGGTCTTTAAGAGTAGAGAAGAAAGAAGGGAGTATCTCTTGTAACTTACCATCTAAATGTTCTCGTAGGTTTCCATTTCCGACATATTCAACGACAATAACCTTTTCGTCTCCATGTTCCAAAAATCCATAAAGCTTTACCAAATTCATATGCTCGATCTTCGACAATGTGTATATTTCATTCTTGAACTCTAGCAACCAGCTTCTTCCATAATTGTTCTACAACATAACTTTTTTCAGTTATTATTCTTATAGAAAACTTTAATCTCTCAACCACATATTTTGCAAAGATAAACAAATCCAAACCACACCACCTTTCTTGCACGTTTGATAGCAACAAAAGTTCCATCATCAAGCTTTCCTTTAAAAACAGTTCCAAAACCGCCTTCTCCAATCTGATGAACCGGTGCAAAATTTGCAGTTGCCCTCTGAATCTCCGCAAAAGAAAAAATTACTGGGCCGTGGTGCCAACTTTTGCTAGAAGAAGAATCTTTCCCAGAATTTTGATATCTTGAACCAGAAAAACGATATTGACCTGAAACCTTTCTTTCTGTTGACCTTCCATAAGAGCTTGGTGATGAATAACCAGTCCAGCCTGATACTGCACATATGCAAGAAACAAGAAAAAAACAAAAAAGATTGTTACAGCAATATAGAGATCTTACATGTTTTGATACAGAGTTTTGCTTTAAAGAGATCAAGAAAGGATGTTTTAGTAAAGATTAGATCAAACAGCAATATGAATGCTTACATGTAGATTCTCTGTCGAGCGAGATGCTCTCTCCAGGATCAGATCTACATTCTCTTGGCTTTAGCTTTTTTCTCTGTCCCGAGAAAAGAAAAGCAAAGACTCCTACAACTTTCTTGGCTGCACGTCTGATAGCACCCAAGGAGGAGACATTCCTCGCCTTGTCGCTAGTACCTACATCACTCCAATTATACTCAGAATCGGCTTTTTGTCGCTGTCCATTTGGGAAGAGGAGACGCGTTGGGGTTTTGCTCCTCATTGGCATATATGTCTAAGACATGGTTATAGCAAGGATGTGATTATTATTTCTAACCCTTAAAGTCCAAGAAAGAAAGTTTGTTGTAGTCATGTCTCATGTAAGTCTCTTTCTTTTCATTTTTTTTTTGGTTAAAAAACCAGAAATTTATGTGCATATAATAAAACTACAATGACACAATATTATCTGTATAACAGATATATGTTTTCTAATGTGTTGTAGACCGATTCAAACAGGTTGATTGGTCTTGCAAGTTTTGCTGTTATTCTTTATTTCATAGTCAATGGAAATTAGTAGTGATGTTATGCTGAGTTTTTGTATACTTCTGACTTTTCCACACTAGAAAAGGACTAAATTGATCTTAAAAACTCTATAGTCTAAGGAGAAGGGAATTTAAGAACATAAAACTAATCAAACGTTTTCAAAAAATCTCTCTCTTGTCAAAGAAAACAGAGTCAAAAGTAATCCAAATCTAACCATTGCTCTTAATCAAACTTTCTGCAAATCCTATACTCATCGAGAAATCACCTCAAGAAAATAATAGGGGCATCGGAATACTTACCTCCGGGCTAGAAGATTTGATGTAAGAAGAAGCCTTCAGAGTTCAGGTTGCACCGGAAATAAAGTTTCACTGATGAACATTGAGCAAGAAAATTCAGTAGAGAATATCAGAAGAGGAGACAAAGTGAAGATCTTCTCTTTACAAGAAGGACACATCTTGTTTCTGATAGTTACTCAGGAAAGAGGATGCTTCTATTTAAAGCTGCAAGTTGTCTACATATGGTCCACCAACAAGTCCAAAATGGTTTGTCGATCTGGCAAGAAAGGTCCACGTATATAGTTAGGATGAAAGATCATTATTTCGTGGAAAATGTCTTAGCCAAAAATCATCTAAAAATGATGACAAAACAACTCTCAATTCAAATCAAGAACCAAAAAAAAAATGCATGAATAAGACAGCAAAAAATAACCTAAATAACCTGAAGAATTATGGCTCAAACTCTCACCTGCTGTGTCAAAGACTCAAAATTTAAGAGAGCACAACGGATGTAAAAGATTTGCTATAAGACACATTACTAAAACAAGATCCAATTGAAAAACTGCATTTTTAACTATCAAGAACTCAAAGCATATAGTCAATATCAGCTTGTAAGTTTTCTTATATGAATTCGTCGTTCTCAGGTGTTACCGGCGAATTTGGAACTACACTATTAGATATCTATATTTTAAGCATAGGGAAACCCTTTGAACATTTTTCACTTCTACAAGAAGTATCGTACGTACGTAGACCCCACCAAAAAAATCAAAGTAACAGAAGAAAAATGTGAATATAAGGTTGAAATGAGACGAATCTTTATACATTACCCTGTGCTGTGTGCATAGCATTTGCAGGTATCACAGACCAGGTCTGCATGTTGGAGGAGAGGGTACATGTTTGATGATGTAATCCACTTCAAAAGGCTGTAATCTGACTATCTGAGGGTGATGATGATCTGATATACTTTTTGATTCTTCCATCAGATTTTCCCCGGCTATCGATGAAATTAGGTATCTCCAGAGAAAAGAAAAAAAAAAATAGAATTGTGCAGCAAAAAGCATTAGACGAACAAAAACAATAGTGAATTTTGGACATTGATGTGAGAATCAATAGGGTTGGTCACCCTTTTACGGCGTTCTTGCTCCGGCCGACGAACAAATTAAGAGTAACTTATTCCTTATGGGCTTATTTGCATAATTTTGGGCCCGAATAAACAGCCTTCGCATTGGTTTTCTGATATTGAAAGTTCATGAATTAAATTAAAATTTTGATTTCATTGTTTTTTCAATATATATACCAAAAAGAAATAAGAATTGTTTTTTTTCTGATGTTTTATAGAAGATTTATTCAAATCATTTTCCATAACAACTTTTCATTCAAATCACAGTAAAACTTACAGTTTCGACTAGTGTTGGTGGACTAAGTCGTCGGAATATTCCAATATTTATCAGAAAGAAAGTAAAATCAGTACAATCACGTTCAGACAAAAACAAATGACTGTGTAATTTTGGGGACCTGCTATGTATGTTTTCTAGCAAAAGTACAACACACACTCTTTGGGAACTTGTCGTAACTCCGAATCTCTATGTCACTCGTCGGTTGTTTCTGTCTACAAAAGTAAGATAAATTTACTCTCCCCTTTTTTTTTGGTCAAATAATTTACTCTCCCTTTATTTTAGGTAAAAGCTACAAAAAATAACTAATATTCCCCGCGATTTCTTATTGATAAATATATAAGTTCAACTTAAGTATTTTTGAAGTGAAATTTTGTTTTGTTATTCAGAGACTATTGGGATTTTGTATTCTCTGTTTTTACAATGACTATACTAAAAGCATATATTATTGTAATAACTAAACACATTAGTTGACGATGATGTAACATGGGAACAACAGTTACACACCCTTTCTTTAAAAATTAATTAAGGTCGTTGCTTAAAACTTAAAAGAAAAGTGTGTTGTTCGAATGTTACATCTTGCTGCATTAGTAATATAACTCTTGTTGCTGCTCTCGACTTAAAAACCCTAAAGTTGACATTGAGCTATTTCTTGATTCAAAGGGAATCCAAAGAGGTGACGGAAGCAGCCAAATAATTAACCCCCAAGGTAAACGACACAAATACAGCATTAGCAGCACACGTGTTTTCACTTTTCACCATTCACCATTAATTTTATTCTTAGGCCGTCCATCCATTTAATTTTGTATATATATCATCACCCCCATTAATTAAGAGCCTTTTATGATCGTCCTACAAACGCAGAGGTCAGGCCCATAATGGGATGTGTTTGTACACTTCTTCCTTTGATTCTCTCTGCCACAGTCATGTGACATAATTATACTGTTTTCTTCTTCTTTTTCCCCCATTAACCACACATATCATATTATCCTTTTACACTAACTAGTAGCAGTAGTACATGATTTTTGGTACTTAATATTTACCATTTCAAAACAATTTAGAATTGCATTTTAGAAAGAATAAAAATTGATGTAAAAAAAAATAAGAAAGAATAAAAATTACTGCACATTCGACAATAATTGCTATATTTTTTTAGCATTGAGTAAATTATTATCTAACTAAAACTTGAAAATACTCATAATAAATTGATTATTCAGATAAATATTTATTCAAGTTTTTATTGTGATAATTTTTAAAAATCCCACTTGACATTTTCAAGTAAAATAAATACGCACCAACAGAAATGAAATAATTAAAAATGGGAAACACTATATAGATTAAATAGGTAAATGAAGAAAAGGGTTTAAGGAAAGGGAAAAGGAGGTTCCAGAGTGTTGACAACGCCACTCTCTCTCTCTCTTATCGAGATCCTAAATATGGCACTGACCTATTCACTGAACTGAACCACACCCTCCTGACCACTGAGCCATGACCCACCAAACCCAGCGACGTCGCCGTCGTCACTCCGCCGTCTGTCACCGTCATCCCACTTCCAAACCCACCACTGGTTTCTGTGCTACCTGTCTCCGCGAACGCCTCTCCACCATCGAAGCTCTGTCTTCCTCCCTCGCCGCCTCCGATCAGGTCCCTGAGCTCCGTCGTCTTCGCTCTTCCTCCCTTCGCGACGCATCCGCCGCAGATTTCGACCAGCCACGACGCAGATCGTGTGACGTTAGGTCCAATGACAACCGATTTGCCGAAGATGAAGAAGAGAGGCTGGAGAGCTCGATTCGGTTTCCTTTTGTCCCAGATTTGAAAGAGGGGGAAGAAGAAGAAGAAGTAGACGACGGAGAAGATATTAAGGGGTTCAACGAAGGTAAGGCGAGTAGGAGGCTTGTGGAAGAAGAAGAAGAAATCGATGATGGAGAGCAGAAGACGATGAAGGAGTTTATAGATCTGGAATCGCAGAATCACCAATTTAAGAAGAACAACGGCAAAGATTTGAAAGAGATCGCTTCGGTTTTCAGCAGAACGCTTAAGAAATTTTCACTCAAACATCCGAAGAATGGGAAAACTCCAGATGCCGGTAACGGCGAAGCTTACTCAAAACGCCGATCAGAAATGAGTCTTGGCCGTCGCTCATGTGATGTGGATCCTAGGTTGTCTCTCGACGCAGGTCGAATCTCCTTCGAGGAGCCTAGAGCGTCATGGGACGGATGCTTGATCGGAAAGACATACCCGAAGCTGATTCCGTTGTCCTCTGTGACCGAAGATGCTAAAGCCTCGCCGGAGAAGAAAACCGGCGCTAAAGACGACGAGGAGGAGAAGAACCCTGGCGGGACAGCTCAAACAAGGGATTACTACTTGGATTCACGGCGGAGAAGAAGCTTCGATCGATCATCGAGACATGGATTGCTCGAGGTTGACGAATTGAAAGCTATTGCCAACGCCAAGGTATCACCCGAAACTGTTGGTTTGTTTCATGGAGCGAAGCTGCTTGTTACAGAGAGGGAACTAAGGGATTCGAATTGGTATTCCATCAAAAACTACAAACCGGAGAGCTTGGAGTTAGCTTCTAAAGGCGTTGCTTGTGTTGCTGCTGGTGAGGTGAAGCAGGATGGTTTCGGGTTGAAGAAGACTGGCAAGAAATGGTCTAAGGGATGGAATCTTTGGGGATTGATTCAGAGGAAAACGGATACAACGAAGAACGAAATCAAAACCGAGCAAAGTATGAAACTTGGAGGAAATGCAATGGAGGGTTCTCTTGCTGAGTCTCTGTTGAAGCTTAGGAGAGTAGCTAAAGGAGAAACCAATGGTGACGTTAGCGAGAAACTCATAAGAAGCTACAGCGTTAGTGCAAGGAAGTCTTGTGATGGTATGTTTCATGGTGCTTCGATTGTTAATGGATTCGAAGGTGGAAGAAGCTCTTGTGATGGTCTGTTCCATGGCTCTATTACGGGCGTTGAGACAGGAAGAAGAAGCTCGTGCGAAGACGGATTGTTTCATGGCGGTGAAGGCAAAAAGAATCATCTTCTTCAGAGAGATGCCAAGCTTGGTACTTACTCGCCAGACAACCTCAGAAATGGTTTGGTTAGATTCTACTTGACGCCATTAAAGAGCCATACGACAAGCAACTCCGGGAAAAGTAGGCTGATGAATTAATCTGAACTGTGATTGTTAGTTCATGGTGGATTATATTGATCCTGTGTTGTACTTGTAATTAGCAATTACCATGTTTGTTACTTATTATCCCATTGTTCTATAGTTATATCAAGTAAGATCATATGCCCATCTTGTTCTGTCACTTTTTTCTTTGTACTTTGTACGTGTATTAACACTCTCAAGAATTCAATACAATGGTGATTCTGTTGAAAAGATGAAACTTGTTTAGATATTGGCTCTGATCAAATTCAACAGCAACTAGACTTGAAAAACCGATAATTTCAAACTCGAGATATTGGGTAACTTTGATGGGTGCATAACGTATCAAGTTACATTCCAAATCGTTTAAGCCAAAAGATGAATCAAGCCAACAATAAAGGACAAGAGCTACTACCCAAATCCCAAGAGCAAGAACATCGATGGAACCAAGAACAGAAATCGGTCATGTAACAAAGTTTTGTACTTTCCTCTACAATTTCAAAAGGACACGTCGGTAGAAACACTTGTACGAATGGTCGAATCTTCAATCTAAACCGATACACAGCCTAAGTTACACAAGTTTTTTTTTAATCACAACTCTTTTGCACCACCTTACTCAAGATCATACCCTTTCTCTTGAAGTTCAGTCATGACCTCATTCCTCATTCTCAGCCACAGTTTCTGAGCCTCTTTCTCAAACTTCTTCTTCTCCATCTCTTTCTGGTAATTATCTGCTTCACCTTCGGATTCAACAATCCCTTTAGGCCCAATGGCTGTGCCGATCATTCCTCCCTTTGCAACAAAATCCTCCATGGCCTCTGTATCACCTGGATAAGGAAACTCACGCCGCTCATACAGATGTGCCAACTCTCTCTCCTCCTTTGGTCTCGGCTTCAACGTCCACCAGCCTAAAGGAGACGTTTCATTGTAAACCCACGCCATGCCAAAGATTGTGTAGGTGCATAGCAATGCCTTTCCCACTTGCTTCCAAAAGAACATATCGTCACGCCCTAATCCAACCTTCTTCAGGTACTTGTTGGCATCCATTGACTTCAAGGCCTCAATTCCTGTCACGCACACAAAACATAACCAGCCGAGTCAAATAAATTGATTTCGTTCAGGCATTTCATCGAACACCTTATGTGAAGCTACTAACTTGAATCACCCTAACAAGTAAAAGCTGAAACCTTTTGACAAAAAAGAATACCACAATATCCGGATATATATACGAATACACGAAAGAAAACGTAGTGATCAATGCCCATGAATTTCATCGACGGGGAAAAGACAGAAGAGGGGAGATTAGATCGGGAAACAAGTACAGATTGGTAGAAAAATCTCACCCGTTTTAGCCTGTTGAAACTGTTTCCGCACCATCTTATATACCAGAGAGCTAGGAGCTACGAGCAAGCTTCTATACGATGATGACCAACGAGCTGAGCCCAGCGACGTCGGGCACTTGCCGAAATTAAAGCCGAAACGAAGAAGACTCGATCTGAGAGACTAACGCAGAGTAGCTCTATTAAAACGCTATCGTTTCAGTTCTAATGGGCTGTTAACTTTGTTTGGGCCTTCTTATTCAGTAGCATGAAACAAAGATGCTATACAAAGTGGTTTTGCAGGATGTGGGCTTGTTAGTATAGATTGAGCTGGATACTTTGTCGTTTCGCTGATGTGTCGCCTCTGATTTATTAAAATTACGAGGTCTAAAATACTCATGTCATTATGACATTATGTCAAACATAAACGCCTACGTAAAAGATTAATCAGTCATAGTTGTTATTTATATAAACTTGATACATTTCCACACTCAACAGAAACTTGAATAATTACATTTTAATTCTTTAATTTATGTTTGTTCAATAAAGCTTTATTAAATCAATATCGTGCGTTCTTACTGGGCCTCGAATAAGAATTAGATGGGCTTATTGAAATCCATTTTTTTATAAAGTAACACAACAAAGCCTAAGCGTCAACGCTAAACAGTTAGACAAAAAAAAGAGAAGAGTTGGTGCATGCATGCAGTAGAATTGAAGAATAGACGTTGGCACGCAAAAGCAAAACCGAAGAAGAGACGTTGGCATGCGGAAGGAGAGATTAGGTAGATGTAAACACCCTCTATTACTCTATATAAGAGACACAAAAACTTATTGATATCACACATTCATAATCTCTCTCTCTCTCTCTCTCTCTCTCTCTCTCTCTCTCTCTCTCTCTCTCTCTCTCTCTCTCTCTCTCTCTCTCTCTCTCTCTCTCTCTTTTTCTCTCCAAACATTCATAATCAACCTCTCTTTTCAAATGAAGCTCTCACTCCGTATCTTCGTAGCCGTTCTTATGTCGTTCATGCTCCTCTTTTCGAATGAAGGTCAGTAGTTTATTTATATGTTGTTTTAGTATATATATGAAAACCTCTCTATCATCTCATGTCTTTTCTCCTTTTTTTTACAGGTATGGCTCGGAGTCCGATGACTCTAGAAGAAAATAAGGTGGTAAGGCCTCCGATTCCGTGTACGGAAGACGAGTGTGGCTTCGTTTGTCGCCACATGGACCTTTTGCCATACGGATGTCCCGGAGCGGAATGTTTCTGCCTCGCCAATCGCTAGGGGATGTATGAGATTGTTATCAAATCGTCTATGATTAAGAACACCATATCTTAGTAAAATAAAAGAGCTGTGTAATGGAGTTTAAAAGTCTATAAATGCAACATGAGTTACTAATAATTACCGTGATGTCACTTGTTGCTTCCCAAAAGATTTAGTTACCCTTATGGATAAATGGGCCTAGATGGGTATCGTAAATATAACTTTATGGGCCTATGTGCTCTCTTTATGATTTGCGTTTGTCGCCGTCTTTAATTGTCCACCTTCCTCGGACCGGACGGATTTGACATCGGTCAGGAGATCTTAACCAAAATTCGAATCACAATTAAAATCGTTGGTTACTCAAACTTCGGTTTTGTCTGATTTCATCCGGTTTAGTAAACAATATGTAAATGCAAGGCCTTTGGCCCATTTCCAGATCGATCAATCAAATAACAATTGATCTCCTTTTAACCTTTGTCTCTTACGACATCTATTATCATCATCTTCATCATCCATAAAATCACAGTTCTTCATGTTCATGTTCATGTTCATCAATCCATAAAATCACAGTTCTTCATGTTCATGTTCATCAATCCATAAAATCACCTACTAGACTTTGACTTCCCGTTTCTTCGACTCTCTCGGTGAGTGCTAGATCAGGATTCTATCTCATCTTAGTTTACCAGCTTCAAATTCATCCCTAATTTCTTGTTTTACTTAAGCTTTGCAATTTTGTTCGGAGGTTTTGGTTTCCTTTGGGAAAATGCTTCTAATTAAATCCACGCACTGGTATCACGACATTTCTAGTAATAGTAAATTCTGAACGACTCGCACAAACTGCTCCAAGAAGTCGAAAGATCAAGTGTCATTTTACGATTACTGCCCCTTGATTTCGCGTTCCTTGGTATTTACGATCGGCTTAGTGGTCTGGGCTCAAGATTGGGCTTTACAAATTAATGAGTTCTGTTTAGTTTAATAGGCCTTTGTTATGAGTTGTATTTTAGTCTTCGTCTTCGTCTTCATTCGGCAAAAAGGCATGAAATTAATTAACAACATTATATAAAAACTATATTCTTTCTCTGTTCTCTCGATATCAAACTCAAGAGTCAAGACAGGTCAGTGACAGTGAGGTCACAGGCTTGTTGTTAGGTCAAAGGCTTGCTATAACAGTATATATCTGTTGCTTCAATTTTCTTAACTGACTACTACACACTGTTGATAGATTGAGGAAGATGTTGCATCTCTCAGGGAAGAGCTTAAATTGAGTAATTCCTTTGTTAGAGTGTCGTCCAACCTAACTCTTGAATTAAAAGTTATATTGTGTGTGTTTGAGACAGATAATATGTTCTTACCATACACAGAAAGTAACCAGTGTTGAGGCAGCAAGAACAAACCCGAGTTGCTTTGTTAATGTTTGAAAAGTAGGAACTTGTTTTGTTTTTTATCTGACGAATGCGCATTGTTAGATTTAGATACATATGCTAGTAGTTATTATGAACACGTATCAGAGTTATGCCACAAAGTTTAGAGTATTTGTATTTTTCTTTGGTAAGAAAATGATAATAACTCAGTATTGCGTAGCACTTAATTTTTGTCTTTATGCTTGTCATGTAGCAGATAACTTATTTATTATGATTAAGAACTTTTTCCGCCTCATTAAGAACCATCAGTATAAACAACAATGGGACTTCTAACGTTATGGGTGCCATCGGACCAGATAAGATTTGCAGACGAAGGCAGCTTTGGGTCGATATTGCTGCCCGAAACAGTCACGGTGAAAGACTGCTTCTCGTTCACAGATTTCATAGATAGCACACTAGGGGAGACCTCTACGCTGAGCTTAGATCCGTGACCTGCGAGTACCTTTGATTTGTATATAGAGTTGGGGGCACCGACGTTAGTGACAGTTCTGTTGAAAGTGACGCTGAAAGAGCTATTAGATCTCGATATTTTAGCCGACATGGACGGATAGTTAAGGTTTCTTTGTAAGGTTCTTTCAGTGCAAGTGACGGCTTCACCGGTAATGAGTTTCAGGGCTGTAACATTGAAGTTCAAGCCGCAGAGAAAGGCGATGTGGTCTGCTTTGTCCAGTTCATATACGAGTCCAGGGTTAAGAGCGGCTATTGGGTCCACGTGTCCAGCTCCATAAGCAAACTCGGTCGATGCAATCCCAGTTCCAGTAGCTTTCATTGGCCAAGCTACACATAATAATATAAAGAAGGAAGAAGAAGAAGAACAATGTTACTTGTGGGACAAGAAGGCAACGACCAAAGAAGAACAAGGTTACTTGTGGGACAAGAAGGCAATCTTTACTTACCGGTTGTCATGATGGCAGATTTAATCATGGAAGGAGACCATTCAGGGTAAAACGTCTTGACGTACCCAGCCACGCCTGCAACATGCGGACAAGCCATCGAAGTTCCGGCGAGGACAGAGTAGTTTACACGTCTGGTGTCATTCTCCATTTTATACAGTGGTATAATTGGAGCCACAGGTGAATAGGCAGCGAGAATCTCCACTCCTGGTGCTGTTATATCCGGCTGCAACCATAGTCGCGGGTCAGAAACCAAGAGAGTAATTGCAGGAGCAAGATCGTAAATGTATGGTGTATATAAACCTTGAGAATATCAGAAACAATGCTGTTTGGACCGCGGCCAGAGAAGGATGCAACTTTAGGAGCTATCTGATTAAAGATTGCCTCACTTTTTAGAACTGCCGCTTCTGGAGACCTGAGAAAACAAACGCAGGGGATAACGAATAATAACTATATAAAGCGTTCGAAATAGAGAGAAGGTCGTTAATTACTTTGTGGAGTGAATGTAAGAGACGAGAGAGTCAAAGTCATCTGGTGATAGAGCAGAGAAGGGCAAAGCGTGGATGGACGCATGGTCTACTTCCGGGTCTTTAACAATGGACGCAACAGCTCCCATTAGTATAGCTACTTGCGGACCATCAGAATTAGCGCACACCAAGATCTTCCCCTCCACTAGGGATTTATCTAGACAAATTGGAAAGCATTGCCTGCAAAAGGATGGTATCGCAGTTAGATTGTGTTTCTTGGGTAGAAAGTTATCATCCCGATCAAGATTGTGTTTCTTGGGTAGAAAGTTACTCGGCAGATTTTGTGTCGCAGCCAGTCAAGGCAGCAGATTTCCCGTACACTAGAGGGTACGTCTTTCCTTTCATATCAAAAGCATTTACGGATTTCCCCTGTTAAGGAAAAAAGGGAACATAAGAGTTCATGTGGTAGTTTCTAAAGAGAAAAATACGATGATGATAGAAATTAGAGTGTTACTTGAATGCTTACCACAAGTGTCTTGCCGTTACCGAGAACAACTTTGTTGACAAACCCACGGTTCGTGTTGCTGGCTGCAACGGTTAACAACCATGGTGCTACGCTCGAGATATGGCCCGGATACGGGCCGCTATTATCAGCCGAGTTCACAGTCAGGATTCCCTTGGCCATGGCGTGGAAAGCTCCGATTGCAATCGGCTCCTCTTGGAAGGATTTGATATATCCACCGATAGATATAGTGATGAGGTCAACACCGTCGGAAATCGCATCATCGAACGCAGCAAGTGTAGCCTCGAACGGACAAAGGGTTTCGAGGCAGACACTGTAAACAGCGATTCTAGCGGCTGGAACGGCACCTCTCACCGTTCCATTGCCGATTCCAAAGAAGCTTGTGTCCGCGACTGCGTTTCCAGCTGCAGTGGATGCTGTATGCGTACCGTGTCCAATCGTGTCCCTAGAACCTCTGCCTGTGTAGTCTCTTGCCCCTATCAACTTGCTGCAAAGTAATAAACAGACTCGAATTGGTCCATCTGACCACACTTAGTTTAACAACATTGTAATATAATCCTCTAAGAGATTTACTTGTTGCAGGTGAAGTTTTTGCCGCCGGCACAGACACCTTTCCATTTCTTTGGAGGAGGACCAAAGCCTTTGTCAGAGACGCTCTCAGATTCCGGCCAAACCCCAGTGTCGAGGACTCCGATGATAGTATCACTCTCTATGGCCAAGTTTCGCTTTGTTTTCTTTCCTTCCTTTAGCCCCATGAAATCCCAAGACCCCGTCGTTTGGATTTGTAAGTTCTTGCTCGGGAACACAGACACGACGCCTTCCATTTCTAACAACAACCAAGAAGGGTTTTAATCAGCTAGCCTTTTTTATAAAACAACTTCAATATATAAGTGTGTCTCGATCGAATAACACTCACCAGCTACTCGGTGTCGTTCTGACTCAGTGAGCCTGGCCGCGAAACCGTTGAAACTCCTCTTGTAACTTCTCACCAAACGACCTTCCATAGAACTACAATTCTCATTAGAATCTTCATAACAATATTTAAAATTATTTGTAAATAATCATATGATTAGAGAAATCAGTTAGTTAATTCACACCTTTCTCCGGTGACCTCTTGAAGAATACTCGTGTGATGCGACATTGGTGTGTATTCCGGTCGAGACGGAAGTGAGCCCATGTAGACAATATACACCTTCAAGGAGGGTTGTAATAATCGATATCATCATGTACAATAGAAGAAGCAGAAAATATCATAATCATAATTAATAGTAGAGGAAATGATCTAAAATAATCCTTAATAATATACTTGTTTGTTTTGATGATCATCTGTGACTCCTGAGACTGAACTCAAGAACAAGAATACTACGACAAATGAGAGGAGACAGAATGAAGCTTCTCGTTTCGTCATCTTTTTCGTATAAAATGAAGTAAAGGTTTACTCTATTCTCTGTGGAGAGGAGACCAACATGATAGAATTTATAAATAGTAGATATCATGCTTAAACCGTGTCAAGAAAACTATTAATCAAATTCTTTTGATTCTGATTCTTATCATAACAAAAGCTGGTATTACCATAATGACAACGATATTTATATCAAATGATACAACTGTATGTTGGCCAAAACTTTTTTTTTGGTAAACAGTGCATTTACATTTTTAGGAAACATATCTACCATTTATTATAACAAAAGCATAATAATACTGATCATATCTGTATCAAATTGTATATGCTGTGCACATCAATATTTATGTTTTCAGCTCTAAATTATATCAATTATTTTTTACAAAATTTATTTTTCTTTTATTTACTCACAGCTAAAATATATTTTTTTTTTTTTGCTGTGCAATGCATTTTTTTTCAAAACACATAAATTTATGCTTTCCAAATTTTACAATTCTATAGCTAAATTTTTTTAAAAAATTAAAAGCTACAGCTACAACAAAAAAATATACAACCATAATTCTACAGCAAAAACGTAAAGCTACAACTGTTTTGAACTAATTTTTTTTTTTTGGTAAACAGCACATTTACACTCTTTGGAAACATCTCTACGGTTTATTATAACAGTGCATTTACACTCTTTGGAAACATATCTACAGTTTATTATAACAAAAGCATAATAATAATAATTTTATGTATCAACTGATATATATCACTATATCACTGTAGTTTTGGTCAAAATACAGTGATATATATCATTTGATACATAAAATTAGTATTATTTTTATTTTTTATAATAAACCGTAGATATGTTTCCAAAGAGTGTAATATCGAAAATCAAATTCTTTTTGGTTTCCAATTTCTTTCTGAAATCAATACTCAAATTCATATAGCGTATACTACCGTAGGGTCTTATTTCATTTTTGATATTAGATCCCTGAACAATGCAGTAGCACTACGTACTGACCGTTGGATTGAAATATGTGCACGGGTGGTGATGAGTCTCATGATGACCAAATCATACCACGAAGCTGTGCTCGTCGAAGCCTATTGTCACCGTCTTTGGCCAATTTCCGCGCCCCACCATTGTTGCAAGAGAAGAAGACACCATTTTAATCGAAGTAGTGAATCATGTCAAGTACAACGTCTCCATCCATTGGTGAATGGTGAGCGCGCAACCTCAAACAAACCTGTTTTAGATATGTTACTGAACGAATTTCCGTCTCTCTCTTTTAATTCAACCCCATAATTTAACACTATAGTATCAATTACTCAATTAGACTAACTAACAATAACGGTAACGCCTGTGGAGGCCGAAGCGTCCGTCAAAGTCTACACCGGCCCAACCCCGTGTACTGATGATGAATGTTCTTTTGTCTGTCGTCACCCCGACCTCCTTCCACTAGCTAGGATCCCCCCGGTGTTAATGGTTATGGTCTCCAACCCTGATATTCAGAGATATTTAAAAAGATAAAACTATGATATTATGATAATAATGGTTACGATAAATGATGTCCAAATATAAGTTTATCTCTTTCTAGTACAATCTTGAAGATACATCTGCATATATTCAAAAGTCAAAACTCTTTTTGATGCTATAAATTATAAAACTTGGAATAACACGAATGCAAACCGATTCTTAGAAATCCAAACAACTGAAAACGATTCAATCCAAATTTAACGATCACGCAAACATAAATATTTAATCCTTTGTTAATACTTTAAAACGTGCAATAGCACGAAAGCAAAACAATCTTACTGGAGAGTATTTTTATAATTGGATTAGATGAGCTGTTATATAACAACCAAAAAGTAGCTTTTAGCTCACCTTTCAAACGAATTATTGTAGTTCCATGTCAATGAGTCAATGACCATATACCTTTATCTACTTTATTATCCGGCCCTAGTTTAACATATTTATCTTTTTTATATAATTGTAGGTAAACTTCTAAAAATAGTCTATATACGCAATCTTATAGTAATAAAGTTGAAACTTAAATAAAATTATTTCCAACCGTTCGAAAAGTCAAAACACGTTTCATTGGCATTAGTTCATGACTTCATGCTTGATGTTTACGTTAACATTTACCATTAATAAATAAATTTACTTAGGAGAAATCACAGTTATTCAAATTAACTTGATTGATTATACCCACACACAAAAAAAAACATGATTAATTACACTAGTTGTTCTGTAGTTCATAGGTTGGGATATAGACCCCAAAAACGAGATATAAAAGAGCAAGTGTGGGTGAGTTTAGTTAGATGGATGATGAGATTAACTTAAATCCTAAATACGGTTGGGCCACCAGATCACCTAAGCCCTTTTGACCTGTAAAATCTCATTTCTTCATCTTCAATTCTACTTTTGAGTTTTTTTTTGGTTATTATATAATCTCTTTCTCGAATCTAATTAAGTAGAAGCAATTTTTTCCTCCTTTTCTAGTTACAAAAAAAAAAAAAAATTCCTCTTCTTCTTTCTTCTTCCAGTGCGTTCCCTTCAGAGACGACACTTCCTTCAACCTAACAAGTTAAAACGATATTGCATCAATTTTCAACATACCACAGCCACCACAGCTAACACTTTATTTCATATATAGCTCATACATACGCACATATATTTATATACGCACCGTAATGAAAAACAATAACAAACATCAAGACAAATAGACGTATATTAGAGATTATGGAGATTCCAAGACGATTTTGTGCATGCGTCCTAACACTTTTTGTCATCTTTCTTCTTTCGCCAACCACCGTTCACTCCATGATCCGACATTACAAATTCAATGTAAGGCTCTCTGTCATGCATGTGCATATACATGCATGTGCATATACATGCACAAGATAGTACGTTATTACTGAATATATGTTCTTATCTCACATATTACACTATATGGTCTTATTATTCTTCCGATATTCGATCCCTAAACATTATAGTATGCAGTTTTTGCATCATGATATTCATATGCATGAATAAGATCATGCACTACGTTACGTACTGACCGTTGGATTTAAATGTGTGCACGGCCAGGTGGTTATGACGAACACCACGAAGTTGTGCTCGTCGAAGCCTATTGTTACCGTCAATGGCCAATTTCCGGGACCCACCATTGTTGCAAGAGAAGAAGATACCGTTTTGATAAAAGTAGTGAACCACGTCAACTACAACGTCTCCATCCATTGGTGAGCAACCTCAAACAAACCTTTTTAGATTTCCGCCTCTCTTTAATTCAACCCCGTAACTTTAAATATGGTATCAATTAGACCCAACAACTAATTAACAATAACGATATACTATTAACTAAGGTAATTCACATGTTTAGGCACGGTATAAGGCAACTGAGGACAGGTTGGGCAGATGGACCGGCTTACATAACACAATGTCCTATACAACCGGGACAAAGTTATATTTATAATTTCACATTAACGGGTCAACGTGGAACTCTATGGTGGCATGCTCACATCTTGTGGCTTCGTGCCACGGTGCACGGTGCCATTGTGATCTTGCCTAAGCTCGGTGTCCCATACCCTTTCCCGAAGCCTTACAAAGAGAAAACCATTGTTCTTGGTGAGCTACCCAGCTCAAACACACACTTTCTTTGTACAACCATTAATTAATGATTCTCATTACAACTATTATAAAAACATATAGGTGAATGGTGGAAATCGGACGTGGAACAACTCATAAACGATGCTTCAAAAGATGGAACAGCTCCTAGCGCCTCTGATGCACATACCATCAATGGTCACTCGGGCCCCATCTCTAATTGTCACTCCCAACGTAATTACTTTGAAATTTACCAACTGACTAACACCTCTACTTAAGTTTTGAATAGTTATGGTGTATAAATATCGCAGCGGACAAAGCAGACCAAAATAGTGATATACCATTCGGAGCCTTTTGTATTTTTTTTTTTTAATAATTAAATGGTTTTTTTTTTGTTTTTTTTACTTTTTAGAAGGTTATGGTTTACCGGTGAGACCAGGAAAGACATACATGCTACGTATTATCAACGCGGCGTTAAACGAAGAGCTCTTCTTTAAAATTGCCGGTCACGAGTTAACCGTTGTCGAAGTTGATGCTGTTTACACGAAACCGTTCAAAACCGACACCATCCTCATCGCTCCGGGACAGACTACTAACGTTCTCTTAACAGCAAACGCAAACGCTGGTTCCAAATACATGGTCGCTGCCACAACGTTTATGGACGCTCCCATCTCATTCGACAACGTCACCGCCACCGCCACTCTCCACTACATTGGCCACAACGTTTCCGTCACCTCCAAGAAAACAGTTCTCGCATCGCTTCCGCCACAAAACGCAACGTCGGTTGCTACCAAATTCATTAAATCGCTAAGGAGCTTGAACTCCCGCGAGTATCCGGCTAGAGTACCAACCGCCGTGGACCACTCGTTGCTCTTCACGGTGGGTCTCGGTGCAAATCCATGCCGGAGCTGCAACAACGGTGTTCGCTTAGTGGCCGGAATCAACAACGTTACGTTCACCATGCCGAGAACTGCTCTTCTGCAAGCTCATTTCTTCAACATTCCTCACGTTTTTACGGACGATTTTCCGGCGAAGCCATTGAGCCCGTATAATTATACGGCACCGGTAAATCAAAGCGTTAATGCGGCGACGATGAAAGGTACGAGGCTTTACCGGCTGCCTTACAACGCCACGGTGCAAATCGTTCTGCAGAACACAGCGATGATCTTGTCGGAGAACCATCCTTTTCATCTTCACGGGTTCAATTTCTTTGAGGTTGGTAGAGGTTTGGGGAATTTTGACCCGGAAAGGGATCCGAAAAGGTTCAATGTGGTGGATCCGGTTGAAAGAAACACCGTTGGAGTTCCAGCTGGTGGTTGGACTGCCATTAGATTCATCGCCGATAATCCAGGTTTACTTTACTCATAATTAAATTAGGTGTAGCTAATTTCTAATGTTTACTTTAACAAATATAAAATATCTCTATCACTTATTGGAGTGTTTTTACATATAAAAGTTGCTGGTCTTTTTCAGTCACGAATTGTTTCTTTTCGTATTAATAATCTTGTAGGGAGTTATTTTATGGAATATTCGGTCCAACTTGCATAATAATACTAAAGTTTTGTGTTTGTGCTAAATGATGATTTGTTTAATTTTTGTTTGTTGCATATATATGAAGGGGTATGGTTCATGCATTGTCACTTGGAAATCCATACAACTTGGGGACTAAAGATGGCATTCGTTGTCGACAACGGTCACGGTCCTGACCAATCACTTCTTCCTCCACCCGCCGATCTTCCCAAATGTTAGGATTTTTTTGGGATTTTTTTGTTGGTAAAATATGTATTTAGAGTTAGTTTTGGGGAAATAGAGGTTGGGGGTTGGTGCATGATTACAATTCTTTTTTTTGTATGTACAAAAAAAAAGGAAGATAAAAGCGAAATTTTATAATGTTTTTTATTTAGACAACGCTATTATATATTCTGCTAGGCTTCTTTTTTTTTTATTTATTGTTTTCGTTGCAACTTGTCAAGGTAGATTTACTCGGAGGGAAGATCTAGTCAAAGAACACCATACGGTGCTCAACGGAATCGTATAATATAATTTATTTCTAAATGCCAAAATGTCACGGATCCTCTTTCGTAAAATCAAGAGGTTCGGTTGGTGATCCTTAAAGCTGTTAGGGTGTTTTGTTTTTAATTAATTGGTTTTCTGTTCTGTCTATGAACCAGAATCACATATGCATATAATGATATACTACTCGATTGAATTCGAGTTATAACATGTAGTCAACACTATTAATAGTACAAATCAACAAAATACAAACATTGTTATGTTAATTAAGTGATTAGGGGTTTCAGTTTGAGCTAAAATATAAATTGTTGTCTGTAGAGAAAGTTGATATATATTATCCAGCTATACTGGAATCACAATATTTTTCATGAAAAATTATAATAATAATTTCTCGTGAGAAACTAAATCAAATTGTCAGGGAATTGATTCCAAACGATTTTGGCTGTTTCATCCATTTCGCAAGACGCTTGTCCCTTGGTGCACTAAAACCTTAGTTTGATTTTAATTTCTGTTTAAACAGATTTGTGACTTATTCCTTGTTAGAAATAATACTATAATATAATAAGCAATGTTAAAGTATTCAAATGAACAAAACAGCTTTTAGATTGGAAGACTTCTATTAATGGGGGAAAAAGTTGTTTCGAGAATATTAGTTGTACCAAAAATGGCAAAAACTACTATTCAATTATTGACATGTCTCTCCAACATTTTAGACCTTCCCCCCTACATATATAGCTCCTGGAAAGTCCAAAGGGGCATTATATATTAAAAACAATTTTATATTTTATAACGGTATTGATGTAAATATTCTGTTCAATTAAAAACTAGACCAGATCATTAATAGGCTAAAATAAACATGCATATATATTCTAAAAAATGATATACTTTGCATGACTACACCTCACACATAGAATTGATTTAGCAGTTTTTTCATATATGAAGCATATGCGCGCGAAAGATTTTAGAATTGACGATTTCGGTTTTAGTAATAATGTAATATGATCAATTATAATATGATGTGACATAAATGATTTAAAGGTGTTAGGTCAATCATTTTTTCAATTGATTATTTAATGTATTTAGTTATATGAAAATCAGAATTAGATATATTAGCCATAACTATCAGTACTATGTGACATATAAATCATAAGGGGGCAAAAAAAAAACTTTCTCTAATAGTATAATCAGAATGATTATAAACATTTTGAACTGGATTAAGGTGATATAATTAATATACATCCTCTAAGTACGGTATGGTACCATTACCGACCACGTAAGAAAGCTTACCGGCTTACAATAAGTATATATAATATCTTTTACTAAAATGCAATTCATTTATAGTTCATGAAACACCGTAATTAGGACATATATCTATGCGATCCGTGAAATTAGGAATGCTATGTTGTACTAAACTCCATAGGCAATGGATTTCTTTGACATGTTCCAAGATTCTACATAAAAATAAGATATATGTATCTAATAAAAAATCATGGTTGTATTTTGAATAAAGAACAACTCATGCCATGGTCAACTATTGTAATGAAAATTACATATTGGGAAACTATTTATGCAATGGATAAAATTACAGATTATATACCTTTTTTTTATGCCTCAATCCTACAGTTGTTCGTATATGGTTTGAGTTACTTAGTTTAAACGTTCATTTCATTATTTTATTCCCAAATTTCTGTTATAAACATCGATCTGATTAGTGATCAGTTGATCACTGTGAATGTTACCAAACCACTTGAGAGCCCATCGAAGATTTTACGTGTCTACTCTTCTATTAATCACAAAGGATGGATCTAACGTACAAAATGTTGCCACGTGAACAAATCATAATGGAGAAGACAGATTCCTCGAGATCTTAAAAAAACAAAAAAAAAACAATTAAAGTGGGAGACCGACCAATGATAATGCAAAACGCGCATCTCACGTGGACCCCTTTGTACAACTTGGCCATGTAATTTACCGCTGATCTCGACCGTTCATTTGGCGGCTGCTTTTTTTTCCGATCTGACACATAAAATCCCAAAATTGCGAAAACATTAAAAACAAATATATTAACTGTACGTAATCAGTATAAAAGTATACAGCAGTATCAGTAGCGTAAATGTTTTTTTATATACATATTTTATATTGTTATTTTAATAGGAATGTTGAAAATTTGTTATTGTTCTGAGGGGCATCGTATACTCCCAGAAAATGTCAACTTCTTGTATTTAAAATTAAATAAATAATATTTTTCGTTGTGCTCACTGATAACTTTTTTTTTTTTTTTTTTGTAAATCACAAAAATCAGAGTGTTCACCATCATTATTAATTATAGTAGTCACGGAATTGTTCTATCATTCTTTTAATTTTCTTTCTCGGAAGTACAAATCTATATTATTTCATATCATCCCGTAAGTATGACTAGACCAAACTTTACACGGCAGTAAGTACACTTGAAGAATATATACTTCAAGTTATGCCTTTTATACTTGTATCGTAACCTTTCAAGATTCAACTTTCATATCATAAATTTTAACTATAATTTTATTCAAACCGTCCGTTTAAAACAATTAAAATTGATAAAATTCTCATTGAATTTTCCTCAACAATGTAAGTGGAAACATTTTAAGATTGACTGAGATATTAAGCAGGAATGTAACTAGGTAAGGTAACATAAAAAGTAGGAAAGCAGTAAAAAATTGAGGATCCATTCTTAAATTTATTTTCTGTAGTAAGAAGAAGAAGAAACACCATCACCCAAGAACAGAACTATAAGAACCCAAATCATCGCCTCCTTTCTCTGTCTACATCTCTCTCTCTCTCGCTTTTTTTTTCTACTCGAGAAAGATTTTAGAACTTGGTTTCTGGTTTAGTTTTCTTTCCATTTATGGGTTGATTTGCTTCTTCTTGCACGTTATAGTTTTCCAAATTGGGTAAGCTCCAAGGTAGCTTCATCAAAATATATATATTTTTTTTCATTTCTGTAGCCATATGTTTATTTTCCCGAGGAATTTTTATCCACACCCAGATCTTTAAATCTCAACTCTGAGTCTCTGAGACTTATAAAACCACTCACGCTTTAGTTCCACCAAATCTGGAAAACCAATAGATTTATTTTCTTTCATCTACAATATCTCAGAGCTGCTCAAACAAATTTCTCTTTTTTGACTCACTACCCAGATCTTGCCTAGATTTTACTTTGGATTTTCTCAATTCTTTTTCAAAAGGTTGAAACTTTTTAAGATTCTTTGAAGTGGGTCTAAGCAATGCTTCAAAGAAATCCGGATGATTTCTCCAATCAAAATAAAAATGAAGTATCATTTGACAGTGATTTTTGTGTTTTTCCTTTGATTCTCTTATCTCTTCAATAAACACAATTTTTTTATTTTATTTTACTTTGGGATCTTATTGATCCCAAACCAGTAAATCCGTTGAACTCTCTGTCGGTATGATTAATTTTCTCTTACAAATAGTAAAAAAAGAAAAAGAAAACCAGAGCTAGTTATTAGTTTTTCGGACATGGAGATTCTGAGACCGACGACGTCGCACGTATCCGGTGGGAACTGGCTCATGGAGGAGACGAAGAGCAACGTCGCCGTTGCAGCTTCAGGTGAGGTTGCCACGTGGACGGCGGCAGAGAACAAGGCGTTCGAGAATGCTCTGGCGGTCTACGACGATAACACTCCTGATCGGTGGCAAAAGGTAGCGGCGGTGATTCCGGGGAAGACGGTGAACGACGTCATCAAACAGTATAACGAGCTGGAAGCTGACGTCAGTAGCATTGAGGCCGGTTTAATCCCGGTCCCGGGTTACATCACCTCGCCTTTCACTCTGGACTGGGCCGGTGGTGGTGGTGGCGGATGTAATGGTTTCAAACCGGGGCACCCGGTTGGTAATAAACGGCCGTCGGCCGGTAGATCGCCGGAGCTGGAGCGAAAGAAAGGCGTTCCTTGGACAGAGGAAGAACACAAGTAAGACTCTGTTCCTTTTCCGGTTTATTCAACATTTGAAACTAAACCGGAATATTGTGTTATTGTCATAAGTTTTGTTCATTAATATAATGCGAAATCGTAAAATAGTTGAGCATACGACGTGATTTTACATAGTTATTACGAAACCGATTCAACAGTTTATCTAGAAAAAGATCCTATATTTGCATTGTTAACTATTCAAAATGACAATAATATACAACTTTATGAAAATATCTTGATTCGATATTTGTCAATTGTCACAATCAGGCTATTGAAGTGAGGTTTTGAAGAAACACATGCATATCGTAGGGTTGATTTAACATAAGTTGCGATTATGCTAATTTGTTTAGTAAAATCTTGTCTAACCACATACATGACCCATTATCATCATTATGGATATTTACATTATTGGTATTATTTTGTAATGTGTACATTTTTATGAAAATATCTCTGATTCAGTATTTACATTTTGATATTATTTTGTAACGTGCATACCTTTATGAAAATATATCATTGATTCAATGTTTTTCACAATTCAGGCTATTTCTAATGGGTTTGAAGAAATACGGGAAAGGAGATTGGAGGAACATATCTCGGAACTTTGTGATAACGCGAACGCCAACGCAAGTCGCTAGCCACGCCCAAAAATATTTTATCCGGCAACATTCCGGCGGCAAGGACAAGAGACGAGCAAGCATTCACGACATAACCACCGTGAATCTCGAAGACGAAGCTTCTTTGGAGACGAACAAGAGCTCCATCGTCGGACAAGACCAGCGTCCAAGGCTAACCTCGTTTCCTTGGAGCCAAACGGACAACAACGGAACGCATGCTGAAGCTTTCAACATAACGATTGGAAACGCGATTAGTGGCGTTCACTCGTACGGCCAGGCTCTGCTAGGAGCGTTTAACAACGGAGATTCTTGCTACGATGCGCAGAACACAATGTTTCAGCTATAGCGAGTGGTGATCGATCTTTCTAATTAAAGGGTGTAAGTTAAATTCTTAATTTTTCATATGGACGAACACAATCGTATTTGAAAATTGTATAATAAACGTCCATCGTTTTGATTAATTCCAAATTAAAATAGTTAATAAAAAGTCCGTCACAATGCCTATTTTCAGTTAAATTGTTAAATGTTTTTTTTATAACTTGGCTACAGCGTTAAGCCATGAATGTATTATTATTGGTTGGCAAGTAAAGGTTCAAATGATTGCGAGCTGCAAAAAGAATGCCAAAAATAAAAATTAGAAACGTGCACAATCTATATACATATCAATCAAAATTAAATTCGATAGTGTGCAAGTGTTAGTTGTTATTTGCAAAAATAAAATAAAAAATATTATGCTCTACAAGTTGCAGCCAAAAGGTTGAAAAAAGACACGAACTTGGCCATCTCTAATATCTAATTTTTGTCGTTTAATGTTTGAATAACTTAAACATCACAATATGACATTATACATATTGTTCGTCTCAATCAACCAAACTATGCTTTCAACAACCACTTGAAGTTATAACAACGGACAATGTTTGAGAACAGTGCGATTAATTACTACATTCTAATGTTTAAGACACTAATAATATCTTAGTGTCTTTCTTTTTTTGTATAACCAAAAAATTCTTTGGATATAACTAACTTTATTTGAAGAAGTGTACATAATACCTAAAGCCGAACATTTTATAGAATGTCAAACAAAAAAAATGATGACATGTCAAAAGCACACTTGGTAAATCCAAGCCAGCCATCATACACAAAACAAAACCAGCAGAAACAAAACTGTAAAAAGCCCTAAAAAACTAACTAAGCTCCCTCACTCAAATCGGTTTCTTCCCTAAAAAATCCCATTCACCAACTTGATTATTCGGCGGCCTCCAGGGAACATTAAACGGGCCTTGATAATGATAACCCGCAAACGGCTTAACGTTAAAGGATGCAGAACTCGGCACAACCGGTTCAAGATTATAGTAAGGTGCTTGCCTCTGCATCATTTGTGTACCATCGTTTCCCGTTGACATCATCAAGCCTTGGTTCATCTCTAAGTCGGTAAATTGCTCCCCAAGATTCGGCTCCATTTGAATCTGATGATCAGGAGATGAGAAAAACGAGAAACCCATATTATTATAATTAGGGAACATCCCTTGAAGCTGTAGCTGCTGCTGCTGCTGCTGGTCAGCAAAATACTGTGACATGTAATGTGGGTCCATCAAAATCTGCGGGATCGGCGTCTCCATGGCTTGATGATGTCCCCTAAACATACTACGATCCCTTCTCATTATAGCTTCATGTAACTTGTTTCCCAAGGCATCGTAAAGCTCACGTAGCTGCTCTTGTGAACACTGGTCTAGGTTCTCCTCCCAGCAAGAATACTTATTATTATAATTACTCTTCACTCTCATAATTTTATCCTCCATTTGTTTCGCCTTACCTAGATCGTTAACGAAAGTCTCGACATGGGTTTCTTTCTTGCAGCTGTTGGATGCCACTGTGTCTCTGTACCTGCGCATGGTGTCTCTGGCTTTGGTCTCGTCACTCGGCCATATCTCAGGCTTGGAAATCATCTCATCGCTCGCTCTGGTGGGACCGTAGACGATGAGACATGTGTCGACGCCGCAGAGAGTTGAGAACTCCCCTGCCTTCTTGTAAAGACAAGCTTTCCTCTTCTTGTAAGTTGTGATCCTTGTCTTATCGTTCGCTATCCTTCGTAGATCCACTACCTTCTGAGTAGTCTGATTCTGAGTCATCCTTAATAACCTGAGTAGTTATTAACTATTGTTATCACACAAAACATATAAACCATTTTCTTATCAAAACATAAATACACATGTATTGAACTTATATGTTCTGTGAGTATCGTTCACATACTATTTTTCTCTAAGCCACGTTAGCCCCAAATTATTATAATTTATAAATATATTCATTAGGTCTAGAAGAATAGCTTGAGTACGTAACTGTTTATGTTTATAGGCGTTTTGCGAATATACATATAAATACATCACCTCTACTAAACCAGAGGTGATGTTACATACGAACGCAAAGAAACTTACTCCCTACTAAATCAGCAAACGCAAAGCCAAGAGTCGTTTCCAATACCCACGCAACCAAATTAATCTAGCAAGAACTCCAAAAGAAACTTAGCAAATCATATCGAACAATTATAATGTGAATAAAATTAAGAGATTTTCTCAAAACTGTACAGAGCGATAAGAAAATCCCAATCCAGAACGAATAGACAATGGAACATGAAAAGACTTAGAACCAGAGCAGAGTCAAATTTACGAAATTATGTATAAACTGTTTATGCAAAAGGTCTCGTATTCTTACTTGAGTATCAAAGGGAAGGTTCAACGAGTTTCCTATGCGAAGACCATTTGTTTGGAGCTCCCTTCTGTCGGAATATATGAATATATATACGAGATTTTATATATTGAGCTTGATTTAGTTTGTATTTAAGGAAGGATGTCAAAGATCACAAGATATGACCCTTAAATGAAGATGGAATATTAGGAAAGAATAATTAAATATGGAATATATAAAGCTTGCGAAAATGGAAACTGTACTAACTCGAGATGCCACCAAGAAAAGCTAGAAAAAGTTGAAACATAGTTCATTTAATGTTTTTTCCTCGTATGTTAAGAAATTTGATATTTTCTTATACTTTAGTATTATATAAACTTAAATGCGTTTTATTATAAATAAAACAATATATAGATATCTAATAGATAAATATTTTATATGCAGTAGAAACTTTATAAATTAGTATCCAATAAATTAATTAATTCTATAAATTAATAATTTTCTCTTATTTTAAGTTAGATCTGTGCAAAATATAATACAAACCGATAATATAATAAGATAATAACTTATACAGTCTCATTAATATTATAAATTAATAATTACCATAAAAATAATCATATTCAAATATATATTTATGATAATTTATCAAAATATGAATTGATTATCATTTGTCATATTAAGATTGAAATATTTTTATAATTTATCTTTAATTTTATAATAAAATTTTTAAAAATATTATAATTTTTTTTAAAAACAGCATTATTAATTATTATTAGTAAATAATTAATTTTATTAATAATTGATAAATTAATAAAATGTCAAAGTCTTAACAATATTAATTTATAGAGTTTCTACTGTTTATAGTTTAAAAGAAATTGATTGGAGAATGAAAAATAACTTATTTTTTTTATTTATAATTTTTTGTAACTTGTTTTTATTTTTATCTTGTTATTTTATTTTAATTAGAATTTTTTTACACATGTTTGAAATCTAATCATTGACAAACGTATGTAATTTCCTTTATTTAATTAAAAAATAAAAAATAATGTTTTTACTTTTTTGTTCACAAAATTTTCCTTTTAGATTTGATTTTTTTTAAAAAAAAAAATTGGATGATTTATTCTATATTTTTTCTGCTAAAGATTTTTAATTTTGTCTTTTTATTTTATGTTAATATTACATTATGTTAAAAACGATTATCATTTACTTTTTTTTTTTTTTTAACATTATGTTAAAATATTATTGATATAATTTTTTTACAAGTACATATTGAAATGTAATCTATAAATTTAACACATATTATTATAAAAAAAAATTCATTTACAAAATTTAATTGAATAAAAAGTACATTAAATAATGATACAAATTTTTAATAAATCAATCCAGTTTCTAACAAAGAATTTCTCAATATCTACGGTTAGTAACTCTTCAATCTGTTGTACCTTTATGGGTAGCGTTACTTAATTGATCTTGTGTGTATCATCAATATGTTAATCGTCTGCAAAACAATAAGCATTTGGTTAACAAAACGAATACGAAACCGTTTCTGATTATTTAAATTGCATCATTAATATAATTGATGTATAAAGACTCTGAGTTACGATTTACGACTAACCTAAAATTTTGTTTGGGTCTTTTGTTGTTTCGGTCTCTGCATTTTGCACTGCCCCAATCATTTTCTTGGATTCTTCATTGTCTTTCATAGCGGTTAAATCAGTGTTATGGTGCACTGATTGTAAATTAAGCTCTAATTCTTTTTCCACAGATTCTATAACTTCCTCATCAGGTTTCAGATTCTCTTCACCATTCTTCTCAGTAGCAGTGGAGTCCTTGGCTGCTGCAGAAAATTCATCTTTAGCAATATTTTGAGAGATAGCATCATCATGCTCTGGTTGTTGGGTGATCTCAAATGTTCTTGGTGATATTCCTTGGAGAGAACTTATGCCGTGCTGTTTAAGGGATATATAAACAATTAAAAAACTTCCAATAAAAGAACCAACATGGGAAGACATAATATATTTCTTGACGGTTAAGATAGAGAGTAAAACCTGTTGAGTCCACGGTTGTGAATCTTGTAAGGTATGAGTCTCTTCTGAAACTATTGATTCTTCCTCAACATTCCCTATATTGTTGTATTCTTGAGTCGATTCAGCCTGAAAATCTCTCAACAAACCTGTACTTTCTCCTTCCTTGGAGAAATCATGACCAGTTGACTCATCCAATGTTGAGTTATTACCGTCTTGAACTTGCAGAAGCATCCCATCACTATCATTTTCTGCATTTCCGTAGTCTTCAACTAATTGTGTATAAGGATGGCTCGAAGATTCTTCCAAGACGTCGTGAATTTTCTCTTGCTCTATTGGCTTTGCATTCTCATCAGCACTTTTGACTAATTCCGGAACATTCTCATCCATCACCTCATTGTCTAGTAAATTTGTAAGAACATGGCCTGAAGAACTCTCCAAGTCGCTTTCAGATACCGCATTATCTGTTTGTTTTGTTATCTCCTCAGAAAAATCGTCTAAGTTTGGTTCCTCCTCTACTTCTATCTCTCTTTCAAATGATTCTACACAGGGAGCGTCCAAAGAAGCACCAAATAAGCTCTGAGTTGCCTCATACTCCATTGGTTTAGTGTTCTCATATTCCTTCATAATGATCTCTGTATCATGTTCTCCTTGAATGCTATTCAAGATTTGGTCTTTCTGCTGAAGATCAATCATATATGAATCAATGATCTTAGGAGGTCCACAAAGGCCATCGTTTTCAAATCGTTGCACATCAATAACTTCCTCATCAATCAACTTCTCCGTGGATGAATCCCAAGGAGTCAAAGATCTCTGGTCAGTTAGTTCTTCGGTCAAGTAGTTCACATACTCCGAGTTACCCCCATCGATCGAGTCCAAGATTGTTTCAGGTTCTTCTGTTATAGACGACAATGACACACTTGTACGGAACGACAAACCTTCAAATTTCCCAGAGCTTGTAGGCTTGTGCTCAAGATTTTGTTCGGATTGGCATCTTCTATCCAACAACGACATATCACCCACAAATCTCTGATCTGGTTTGCTCACTGATTTAGTACCGCTTCTTGATTCACACTGGTTAGAGACACTCTTGCGCGACTCTTCACCGCGGATGATTTCTCTATCGATATCTGTATCATACGTGTAAGATTCCCCTCCATTGGACCAGTCATCAAGCCAATCAACTGTTGTAGGAGGTGAACCAATCTCTGAAACCTCAACTTGCATGTCTGAGGCAATGGAAAACGTTCGACTGTGCGAATTTGCGCATCTACGAGTATAATACACACTGTTATCATCGAGTCTTGGCGGTACTGGTAACGAGTTTGGAATGATGTTTCTTGTTTGATAACCATCCATCGAGTGGCATATAGCTTCCCTGAGCTCCGCGTTGTTCAAACAGTGAAGTTCTGACTCACTCTCTTCTGAACAAGTTGAATCATCATCACTTTCTTCTTTGTTTGAATCTGTCTCATCATTCATTTCTACCTCTATTTCTCCGTTTTTCCCGCTCTCAACGCATTTATCATCGTCCTCTATTGTAGCTTCTTTGCCATTACAGGGGAGGTTTTGTCCAGTATGACCCATATATTCATTGTCCAAATCTGTAGACAAAAAAAATCGTCATTCACAGAGCAAATGCAAACAACGAATTTAGTAACGAGAAAGTATTTGACATATAACCTAAACGTTTCCTAGTAGCTGAGATGTCTGAAGCAGAAACTGGGCTGTTCATACACTGAGCATGTTCTGGGGAGTAAAGAGCAAAGCGGCAGAAGCTCTCATGACGACAAAAGAACATATCTTTATGGTTAACAAATGAAAATTCTTGATCAAAGCTATCTCCAGTAAGATTAGGTCTTTCCTCTTGAGGATCATAAGGAATGTCAAAAGGGTTTCTCCCTTGTAACATCACAGAAGGCGCTGAGCCAGGAGCTTGTAATCCCGTACCGTTTCGACGTCTCTCAAAGGGCTTGTTGTTACTGTTCCTCGGAACCGTAATCTGAAGGTTGTTGTTCACTGTGGGGCTACTTGTTCCTTCAGCTTGAAGCTTATTCCGTTGATCTAAAGCTAGCTTGAAGAGTCTCCTTGTTCTTCTCCTGGCCATTAGACTCTCTAGTCTCCTATTTCTCTCAACCTCTGATATCCCATGTTCATTGACGTTGCTCATCTCCTCTCTCGTCTCTTCTTTACCATCAAACTCTCCGTATTTGTCTTCATTGATCTCACAGTTGCAAAACCTTGGGTTTTCAACGTTTAGATTACCCAAATCGCGAGAAGACGTTTGTGAATCTTCCTCGCCGAAAGACTTCTCATTGTCTTCTGCTACATCGGTTTCTACAGCCTTTGGAGATTCCTCGAAATGAGGAGTACGACCGAGGAGGTCGTTGTAAAGAGAAGTCAAGATAACTTTGTCCTTCTCTTCCTCGCTTGTCTGCGAATCCCATTCTTCAACTTTCATTCGAGCATTTCGTCGAACACTTCGCTGCTGTCTTAAGTGACATCTAACGCCATTCTTTTCTCCTCCACAGCTCTTATGCGAACCGGAGAATCTCAATCCCAGCCTTTCTCGGGCGTACACTACAGCACAAGCAAGAACAGGCGACGAGTATAACAAGAAGAACAACAATGAAGGGAGGAGAATGTATAGCGCGAGTAAAAACATGGAGACCCCAGACAAAATCGGGTGGTTTCTCATGAATTTGATGCTCGTATTCATCGAAAACCCGATAATTTTCCATAGTATTGCGACAGTCTCCTTCGCGTCAATGCCCATTTTCCATATACTCAAAAAGAAAAATCAACAGACGAAATCGATTAGAACCCAATTGAATCAAAGATCAATACTTTGGGTTTTTTTTACCGAGATCCTAACAAAGAATTTGGAATCAAACAAAAAAAAAAGAAATTGATAAATGGGGTTTCCAAATTTAGACAGCATGTAAGCGTCTGGAGATCCTCTGTTTCAGGACGTTAATGTTTTTTTCTAAATTTTGTCTTCCCTCCTTGTTTGTTTGATAGAGGAGGAATTTAAACGACATACAACAGAAAACAAATTTAGTTTGTTAGCTTAACGAGAGAGAAATTTTGAACCAAAAAAAAAAAACGAGAGAGAAATTGATTTTTTTATTTTACTCGATTGTTCTTGGTATTTGCCTTCATTTCCAAAATAGCCCCACATCTTTTAATCTAACTAAATTTTACGTGTCTATTTTAATTTATTTTAAATTAGTTGGAAAGTTTAGGAAGAAAGTGGAAGTATATACATGAAACTATACAGTACGTCAATCTCAGACTCCGACAACCCAAGTTTGAAGTTGAACCAAGATTTATATTTTTTAGATTATGATTTATTTGGAACTTTGATGAAAACCTAAAAATGATTACCATTCTTTAATTTTTGTTTGAAGTTTCTCTATGACAAAACATACGGAAATTTACTTTCAAAAAAATTATATCCATAAAATATGACATGATTATCTTTTGGGCCATTCTGTGGGCCCTATAATTCCTAGAATTATTTTTGTGGCCCATACCCACCGTTCAAAACCTGTGGTGGGGAAAAAACCTGAAATCTCTCATCAACACATTTTTTATCTTGTGACCACGTGACGTTAAACAACGTTGCGTTCTATACCTCATGCCACACTGGATTCCCCCCCCCTGCCGATAATCATCTTACAAAGCCGGACACCGGCGTATCGGACGGTGGAGAAACCCCTCCCTTTCTGCACATCGACGGCTCACATTCGAAGTCGTAGTTCCCAGTAAACCTCGCGTTCTGTAGAAGAAGATTAGGATAAACCCAAAAAGACGAAAAAAATGTGCTGCCATGTCTTCTTCCTTTGATTTCCTCAATTTCTAGGGCTTCGAAAAGGATGACTACAATCGAATTGCTAAGATCAGGGATCCACGATAGGTTCAGATTCTCAACCTGTTGTAGTAGCTATAACACTCTACTGTACCTGCATGCTTCGAGCTTTTTCCGCGATCGGTCTTGTGCTTTTCGCCACAATCCGAACCGATTCGTCGTCTCCAACCCAATCCAGATTCCTCTGCAGAAGAAATCAGTCGCAGCGTCGAGAAACCATGAGAGGTTCAATCTCTGGCAAGGAATTGCGAGGAAGGGGATTAGAACGGTCGTGAATTGTCAAGAAGGCGATCAGAAAACGAGCTCGACTGAGAGGAGGAGCGAGGGAGAAGGAAACAAGAGCTCCCCGGCGAATTCGTCGAAGCAGAAGGGAGGGAAGCAAGGTAAGAATGGGCTATGGTGGTCCAAGGGGAAGAAGAAATGGCAGTGGGAGCCGATAATCAAGGCGCAGGAGATTGGGGTTTTGCTGCTGCAACTGGGCATCGTTATGTTTGTGGTGCGATTGCTCCGGCCAGGGATCCCGTTACCTGGGTCGGAGCCTCGGACGCAGACGACGTTCATGAGCGTGCCGTACAGCGACTTCTTGAGCAAAGTCAACAATAACGAGGTGCAGAAAGTGGAGGTGGATGGAGTTCATGTTTTGTTTAAGCTGAAGGATGATGGGAATCGGCAAGAGAGCGAGACTGGTAGTAGTAGTAAGCTCCCTGAGTCGTCGGAGTCTCTGCTCAGAAGTGCGACTCCGACTAAAAGGGTTGTGTATTCGACGACAAGACCGAGGGACATTAAAACGCCGTACGAGAAAATGCTTGTGAATAATGTTGAGTTCGGGTCGCCGGATAAGCGTCCCGGTGGCTTCTTCAACTCTGGACTGGTAAGTCCACGTCTTTTTCAGAAGTTGCAACGTTTTCACCTTCTGTGAAACACTCAAATTGAAAAAAGTTTCCTTCTTTGTTGCAGATAGTGTTGTTCTACATAGCAGTGCTTGCAGGGCTTCTCCACCGATTCCCTGTTAGCTTTTCCCAGGTTTGCACATTCATGATACCGTAATGTGGTTATTTAAGTTAAAGGCCATGTGCAGTTCCCTTAAAAGATGTGAGGTATACACAGAGTACAACAGGCCAGCTTAGGACCCGCAAGTCTGGTGGTTCTGGTGGGGGGAAAGTTTCTGTTGAAGGTGAAACAATCACTTTTGCAGATGTTGCAGGTGTTGATGAAGCAAAGGAAGAGCTGGAAGAGATTGTGGTAGGTTTCTCAGTCCTTAGAGATGCTGCGCCGTGCTTTGTTGATGATCTTGTTAAATTTCTTTTACACTCGGCTTAATTTGTTGCAGGAATTCCTCAAGAATCCTGATAGGTATGTTCGTTTAGGCGCTCGTCCCCCTCGTGGTGTCCTATTGGTGAGTTAAATCATTTCTTAGGTAGAGTGTATGGGCTATGTTTAGTTACTATCTTTAGGATTGATGGATTTATTGTTCTTTTTTGGTAGGTGGGTCTTCCCGGAACAGGAAAAACCCTTCTTGCAAAGGCTGTTGCTGGGGAATCTGATGTCCCCTTCATAAGTTGCTCTGCAAGTGAGTTTGTGGAGCTGTATGTTGGCATGGGTGCTTCCCGCGTAAGGGATCTCTTTGCACGGGCCAAGAAGGAGGCTCCATCAATTATATTTATTGATGAGGTTTGAATACGTTGTCAATTTTGGATTACCTCCTGCACTCTCTCTCTCGGTTGAAATCTCAACGAATTATTCTGTTTCTGTATCATTTTCCAGATAGATGCTGTTGCAAAAAGCCGTGATGGTAAATTCAGAATGGTCAGCAACGATGAAAGGGAGCAAACCTTGAATCAGTTGCTCACTGTAAGTTTGTAATCATGCAGTTTTTGGCTGCCAATGTTGCTCTCCTGATCTTTGCATGACCCAGTTATGTGTGGGAAACTGGTTTGCAGGAGATGGATGGTTTCGACAGCAGCTCTGCAGTCATTGTTCTTGGAGCTACAAATCGAGCTGATGTCTTAGACCCTGCCCTGCGTCGGCCAGGGAGGTTTGATCGTGTCGTTACGGTTTGTAGAATGATCTGCCTCTGTCTATTTAAATTGATACAGGCAGTTTAAAGACTTAATTAAAGCTATCTGGAACATTTTTCAGGTCGAAACACCTGACAAGGTTGGAAGAGAATCCATTTTGAAAGTGCATGTTTCAAAGAAAGAGCTTCCTTTGGGAGATGATGTCAACCTTGGTAACATTGCCTCAATGACAACCGGTTTTACTGGGTAAAATTCTGTGTATTGTTCTTGACCCGGAAAGTTTATTATCTGCTTTTTGCTGTATGTCTCGTTAACTTTTATGTTTTGTTTTTATAGGGCAGACCTTGCAAACCTAGTTAATGAGGCTGCTTTGCTAGCTGGAAGAAAAAGCAAGACGACGGTTGATAAAATTGACTTCATTCAGGCTGTGGAGCGATCTATAGCGGTATCTTCCTAATTCTTTCCAAGTCTATTGAAGAGCTCTTCAGGTTTTTTTTTGTTCTCTTTACAGTGCATCTGTTGTTGCAGGGCATAGAGAAGAAAACAGCAAGGCTAAAAGGCAGTGAGAAGGGTGTGGTTGCAAGGCATGAAGCTGGGCATGCTGTTGTTGGTACAGCTGTTGCAAATCTTCTTCCAGGACAGTCCCGTGTTGAGGTAAAACAACGAGAAGAGCTTCTTGAATATGCTTAATGCGCATTTTCACAAAGTGTTAACGCTCTGCTAATTCGTGTTTGTGTTGGCTAGAAATTAAGCATATTGCCAAGATCAGGAGGGGCATTGGGCTTTACATACATTCCTCCAACACATGAAGACAGATATTTGCTCTTCATCGATGAACTACATGGGCGCTTGGTAACACTTCTCGGAGGTCGTGCAGCTGAAGAGGTTGCTTACTCGGGGCGTATATCAACAGGTGCACTTGATGATATCAGGAGAGCAACGGACATGGCCTACAAGGCAATAGCTGAATATGGTCTCAGCCAGAAAATCGGACCCGTCTCTGTGTCTACACTCTCTGCTGGTGGGATTGATGACTCTGGGGGCTCACCATGGGGAAGAGATCAGGTAACTTCATTCTTGCTTAGGCTTCTGGAATGTCCCTTTTAAATGGAAATAAACCTTACAGTTTCATGTTTTCATTTAACAGGGGCATCTTGTTGATCTTGTTCAAAGAGAGGTGACAAATTTGTTGCAATCTGCTCTTGATGTCGCGTTGACTGTTGTTCGTGCTAATCCAGATGTGTTAGAAGGGCTTGGTGCTCAACTGGAAGGTAAATACATTGCATAACTCGATACTAATACTTTATTTACATGTCTTCATTTTTTGAAAACATGGAATGGTTTCAGATGAAGAGAAAGTAGAAGGTGAGGAACTGCAGAAATGGTTAAATAGAGTAGTTGCCCCAGAGGAACTTGCTGTGTTCATCAAAGGAAAACAAAGAGCTGTGCTTCCAGCAAAAGCTAGCTCCAGTTAACATCTACAGGCCTCTTGTATCTCCTAGGTCAGACCTGTGTAAGCATCACTGACTCTGCCACGCTAAAAAAACATACTTTGATGATACAGAGCTTGAAAGATATATCTACCAATGGCGGTATCATCTCCTCGGAAAATGGCCCTTTGATGCTTAGTTTAAGGTCTCGCTATGTATAGAAAAAAAAGCTTTTGCTTGCGGGCAAACAAGCATGTGTTGTAATATTTGGTACTTTTTTCGCAAAGTTATTGGCAATTGTATTATTGATCACATGTGTATATATGAAAGCCATTCGTTATTTATATATGAACTTCATGTGGAAAGGATGAATCCATCAAGTCCAGAATGGCTAAACCACGAAAGAGATATATCAGAGATACATAAACTTCATTCTAATTACTTCTGAGTGATAAGTTTATGGGGTTTTTTAGTCACTGAATAATTGTAAGTCATTCTTACACAGTAGATGTTGTTGTTCTCAGAGATTCTTCAATCTTTAAATGAAATAAGAAAAACCAATAAAAATTAGTATGATAAGATAAGATCTTGAAATTTTCAAGGATATGTTATATATTATCAATGTACGAAGAATCAATGACTAGACTTTCGAAATGCAGATTACAAAGATTTTTATCATTTCTTAGCAAAGAGACCACCGAAGCCGCCACCGTTCTTCTTCTGGGGCACTGCCACGGAATTTTTACCGCCAGAAACCGTTTTACGACCGCCGTTACCTCCGGTGGTTCCTTCTTTCTCGTCCACCTTCTTGAGGAGAGGATTGGTCTCGTAAAACTGATCTTGCTTCGTTAAACTGCCAAGAACAAAGTCGATGATACTCTTCTCTTCTTTCGGGGTGGTGGTGCTGCTGGTTCCCTTCGCCCCCGTAGCGAAGCACCTCACTGTGGCCGGAGCAAAGGACATTAGTAGCGAAGAAACCATTTTCTTTGTTTTCTGTTCTGTATCTGTCTTCTTCTTTGTGTTGTGTGTTTAATTTTCGAGTGGCTTATGTTACAAAGGGAATGGATTGTCGGTGAATCTGAGCCGTTGGATCGTTTTGACATGTGCTCTCCACAAGTGTCTTATCCTCTCTTTTTCTCCTTTGCACACATGACACATGTATGAATGTGTATGTTTGGGTTGAACTGTTGATGATGAGCTGATGATGTTGATTAGGATTAGCATGATGGTTCAAACAAGTTTTGGGCTTTGTTTAAGGGTGATGGGCTTTGTATTTCATGTATATTACTCATAGTCTATATTTGTAATTTTCATAGGAGGAAACTGATACTTTTGACGATTGGGTGATCTGAAATTTTGACAATATTCATTAGAGATTAAAGCTAACTTTTCGCAACCCAAAAATATATTTAAAGTTTGTGGATTGACTTACCACTCAAATACTCAATAAAAACAAGAGTGTTGAAAAAAAAAATGCTTGAAATGTCTAAGATATTTTGGGGCAAAAAAAAAGTTTATAAAAGAAATGTATATGACATCCGTGGATTAACTAATATTTCATACTTGTATCAGCTGAAGCTGTTTCCTAAATATATAAGTTAACCAAATGGCAGTTGAATCATATAGACTATAGTCACTATATTCAGTTAGCTAGTACCGTTCGAATTCAACCACACATGATCTTTTATCTTTACCATTTTTGATATTTTGTCCGTTGAGTTTTCTTAGAATTTTGTTTTTTGGTAAACTATATTTACTACTTTAGTTTTGTACTTTTATTTACTTATGTTGTTTTCAAATCTTTCGCAAGTGTTGTGCTAAGTGTTCGAATCGAAGCAAACCCCATTTTGTAGAATGGGGTCTTTGTCAAAAAAAAAAAAAAAAGAATGGGCTAACTGCCATTGACCAAATCTTTATTCTCGAAGAAAATATCTGGTTGCTTGGCTCATTTCATGTAAATAAAGTCGTGCTTTTATTTAAAGAATAAAGAGAGGAAAATCTGAATTAAACAACAACAAAAAAGAGATGGAAAATTGAAATGTTTATTTCATTTTGATTACACATTGCATAGATTATGGAAGTTTCAAACCTTGCGACTTTCTTTTGTTGCTAAAATTCTAACCTTGAGAGTTGAGTTCGCCAATATCCCATAAGACTCATTTTTATTAACTTAAGCCCATGCATATACAGTTAATGTTCACGTATTTTCGTTCACTCTCAAGTTTTTTCTTTTTTCTTATATAAGCAGCATGTAAAACGAATATTATGACCCAATAAAAGAAAACATAAATGAAATGCAAGGGGACAATTAATTTGCTTTCGTGTTATGTTATCCCAAACTATACACACACAATATTCTTATCGACCAAAGTAATATTTTCCCAACTACTTTCTCCTAATTGAAACAAATTCAAACCTTTTTTGTTATAGCCTATGGTAAAATTATTTCTCATTTCTACATATATACACCTCCTTCTCCTTCACCATATATATCTCTCACCAATTCCTCCATCAAACAAAAACAAAAAGCCTAACCGGAAAATGGAAGTCTTAAACCCTACCTTAACAGGCTACGTCGTGGCCGCTTTGTCGGTTTACGCTATTTGGTTCTACTTCCTCTCCCGGAGACTGACCGGTCCCAAAGTCTTACCTATCGTCGGAAGCCTACCGTATCTAATCGCAAACCGGAACCGAGTCCATGATTGGATCGCTGATAACCTCCGAGCCACTGGCGGTACGTACCAAACAAGCACCATGGTGATACCTTTCGTGGCCAAGACGCAAGGGTTTTACACAGTGACGTGTCACCCAAAAAATGTCGAGCATATCCTTAAGACACGGTTCGATAACTACCCGAAAGGACCGATGTGGCGAGCTGCTTTCCACGATCTTTTGGGACAAGGAATCTTCAACAGCGATGGTGACACGTGGCTTATGCAACGCAAGACTGCAGCGCTTGAGTTCACTACTAGGACTCTCCGACAAGCCATGGCTCGGTGGGTTAACGGGACTATCAAGAACCGGTTATGGCTTATACTAGACCGGGCGGTTCAGGAAAACAAACCGGTTGATCTTCAAGATTTGTTTTTGAGGTTGACTTTTGACAACATTTGTGGTTTGACTTTCGGGAAAGATCCAGAGACGTTATCTCTAGATCTTCCGGAGAACCCGTTCTCGATCGCGTTTGATACCGCGACAGAAGCTACTCTAAAGAGGCTTCTCTACACCGGTTTCTTGTGGCGGATCCAGAAAGCAATGGGGATTGGATCGGAGGACAAGCTCAAGAAAAGTCTTGAAATCGTAGAGACTTACATGAACGATGCAATCGACGCTCGGAAAAACTCGCCGTCCGATGATCTATTGTCGCGTTTCTTGAAGAAACGTGACGTTAACGGTAACGTTCTTTCAACGGATGTTCTTCAGCGTATCGCGCTTAACTTTGTTCTTGCGGGTCGCGACACTTCTTCTGTGGCCTTGAGCTGGTTCTTTTGGCTCGTCATGAATAACTCCGAGGTTGAGAAGAAGATCGTTGAGGAGTTATCTACGGTTCTGAAGGAGACACGTGGCGATGATCAATCAAAGTGGACGGAGGAGCCGTTAGAGTTTGACGAGGCTGATAGGCTCGTCTACCTCAAGGCTGCTTTGGCTGAAACGCTGCGTTTATACCCTTCCGTGCCTCAGGTGAAAACATATTTTTTTAAAATTATTTCGCTCATGCATTTAACGCTTTCGTACAAAAAAAAAGTACAGAACGCATATGGCCAGGAGAGAATTATTCCATACAAGACGTAAAGTCAACGTAGTTACGTAGACATAATTTATTACAACGTAAATATTGATTTATATCTAACTAAATATTAGAGTTTCATAAAACTTCCTGAACTAAATCTTTTTAACTAGCTAGTTTGACTAATTAATTTCGTAATTCCTTTTAAGTTGAATATTACAGATTTCTTTTTCTTAGTCCCTTGGCTGCTAGCTAGTATCGATTGACTGTTACAATCACATTAAACATTTACTTAATTCGGGTTACTGTTTACCGAAAAAAAACATGGCAAAATTAACGCAAAAACAAAAATTTCTTATAAAAATTATATTCTTGTCACTCCTCATAATTCGTAATAAAGAACTATAGTAACGTATTAATTAGTAACGTTCCAAATGACCAGGATTTCAAGTACGTCATAGACGACGACGTTTTGCCTGACGGAACTTTCGTGCCAAGGGGCTCGACGGTGACCTACTCCATTTATTCGATCGGACGGATGAAAACGATATGGGGCCAAGATTGTCTCGAGTTCCGTCCAGAGCGGTGGCTCACGACCGAAGGTGACCGGTTCGAGACTCCTAAGGATGGTTACAAGTTCGTAGCGTTTAACGCCGGACCAAGGACTTGCTTGGGCAAAGACTTGGCTTATCTCCAAATGAAGTCGGTGGCTTCAGCCGTTCTCCTCCGTTACAGGCTATTTCCAGTTCCCGGTCACCGTGTCGAGCAGAAGATGTCACTGACGCTCTTCATGAAGAACGGGCTACGTGTCTACTTGCAACCTCGTGGTGAGGTGATTGCGTGATTAATATTAAGGGAATCGTTATGGTAAATATGTTTGAGGTTTGGATGATGATATGTTTGTCATCTAAAATTACATTTTACAAGCAATCTACTTTCTTTTCCTATGTTTTCTCCACCTACAAAATACGTATTATGATATGTGCACTTTTTGTGCCTTTGTTTGTTTAAGTTTGTTCAACTCTTTTCTGAATAAAAGTCTAGTGGTTATACTTAACCGAATTATAGTGGACTTAAATTTAGATTAATACCAATCTCGTAACGTAAGCTGTGAGAATCAATTTCGCACTAATCACTAGCTAAAACAACTACTTAATTATTTGACCAACATAACTAAAAATGAAAAGAATAAACATGACGAAGAATTAAAATAGAAATCCAAGAAATTATTCTCTCTTTTTTTTTCTTTCTCTCGAAGAAAGTATTCGACAACAAAGAAGCACATAAACCCTAACCATTTTGATACGAGAAGAAGCTTGAATCTTATGATCTATAGAAAGTTCAAAAGAAAATAAATTATTAAACAAAGGAAAAAAAACATAGAGAATGATCATATGACTCACATGATCATATGGGTAGCTAGAACAATGGGAAGCACATGTTGCTACCTTGAATAGAACCAGAAAGCATCTCTATCAGATCCATCTCTCTTCTTTCACTTGTAGAGTTAGCTTGAGGCAGAAGCAACTCGTTGTGGCCTCCGTACTCAACAGTGGCGGATGACGTGGAAGATGAGGAAGACGGAAAATGAGGGTTAGAGTAGGACGATGTTGTACCATTCAACAAGTAAGACAAGTAGATATCAGACGCAAGGTGCGGAGTATGCGCTGGAACTGCGACCACTGCCGGATCATGATGACGAGTCCCAACATTAATGTGCGAGTTAGTGTTAGGGTTCTTGACCATAAGCCCAGATGATGAAGATTGGTTTACCTCATCAGAAGTTTGGCTCAAACCAATGCTCTCAAGAGAAATCGGGTGGTTCGCAAATATATTTTTTAGGTAAACCAGCTCTTCGTCATACGGATCGCCAAGGATCGACGATGCAGAATCTCCATCAGAATAGATCTGATCAAGAGTCGGTGTAGAAAGAAGACTGATGGAGTTCTCATTCTTGTTCTCGTCGTTGTCCTTGTTAGTGTTATTACTGTCGATGCTTTTGATGTAGTCTTGGAGAATGCATGGCCTTTTAGCTGATGGAGAGAGATCGCTATCATTGTTATCCGCGTTCGCTTGGCGTTTTGGTTTGCGTTTAGAGTTTTGGCGTCGTTTAGTCGCATTCCAATGGTTCTTGATAGAGTTCTCGGTACGTCCTGGTATGAGTTTAGCGATTTCTGCCCATTTGTTCCCAATTCTCCTGTGTGCTTCTACAAGAACCCTCTCTTCTTCTTCGCTCCATCCATCTTTCTGAAAGAAAAATAAATCGACAAAAACGTAACGAGGGTCTTAAGTTAGAACCCTAGATCTAGACAAAACTATATTATATACAGAGAGATCTAGAAAAAAACCTTGATATCAGGGCGGAGATGATTATGCCATCTCTCACGACATTGTTTGCCTGCTCTTCCCTCAAGCTTTTCCGAGATCATTGCCCATTTCCTTTCCCCATGTTGCCTCACCAACCTTATCAACTTCCTACACATACGTTCGTAGTTACAAATGAATAATTATCTTTTTAATTAGGACTCTCATATGAATCAATCGATGTCAAAGAAAAAAATTAATCCATCTACATAAACATATGTCGACATATATACCTGTCTTCGTCCGCCGTCCATTGCCCTTTGATAAGATTCTTGTATGGTCGCTTCTTCGTACTGTTTTGATCATCTCTGGTTGCATCTTTAACGACCAAGTGTTTCTCCTTCCTTGGACCAAACGTCATGTTCTCTTTGTTGTCGTTTCTAATCTCGATCGCCGTTGTCTTCTTCACGATCGGTCCGAGTCGGTCACTAGAACACTCTTGTTTCTTGGAATACAAGGCATCATTCTTTTGGCCGTATAAGAATCTCTCCACGGCGGTCAAAGGAGGCGCAGCTCCGTGGACATGGCGTCGGTGTTCCATGGAAAAAAAAAGATTAGTAGAATGGAGAGGAGAGCACAAAGGAGAGAGTTTAGCTACTGACAAGGAATAAGAGAGAACTTAATGAGTTGCTATATATATAAACTATTAATTTCTTTTAATCCTGATATTTTCTTAAAATTTCTGAAATCGATATTTCTTAGAAATTTTATATTTTCTAAGATTAATTTCTTTTAATTCTGATATTCTCTTATAAAATATAAAATTAACCTTACAGCTCGAGCCTTCGAAGTTAAAAACAATAAGCTAGGAAGACTACAAAATCTGATAACTAAAAAATATTGATATTTAATTGATTACTATATGAATCTATACCTATTAGTCACTAAATCTCAAATCGATATTTCTTCAACATCCTGTCATTTCCTATTATATATAATTTTATATGACGCCATTATTATTATAGGAAAATATCTACGAATGACCAAAAAAATAAGTCGATTATAGAACAATATCCACTATTTTTTGTAAAAACCATTTTTTTCATTTTTATTCTGCAATATAAGTAACATTTTACAAAAAGATACTATCTAATTAGCAAATGCTAATAATAAAATGGTGAGCTAATCAAGATCGTTTAATATGCCAAGTGGCGTAAAAGGAGATAATTTGAAGGCTCGCTAACAGATCGGACGGTGGATAAAAATAAGTTCCAATTTTGAAACTTTTGAGCTTCATCTCTCTCCGACAGTAACATCGGATTAATGGAAGTTAAGAGGAGGGGAAAAAAAGCGGGAAGGAGACTAGTGTGGTTAGTCTTCCTGGTCTTTAGCTAATGTGGTTAGTTTACGAATTATCGAAGTATTTTTGTAACTTTGTAACCGACGAAGTGGTAAATGGAGAGACCCATCAATGGTAATTCATTTGCCGCCAAGCAAAAATATGGTAATATAGCTATGCAATGAAATTAATTATTAGTTGACTACAATTATTTCGAAAAAGGTATAAATTTAGGAGTGGTCTAAGCACATCCAAACAAATACATTTAATTATTTTTGAATAACGTATTCTGCAAATAATTAATAATTATTTTTAAAATTTGTTTGTAGAATTTTTTACAATTTATATTATATGGGCCCTCTTAATTAAAACAGAATGGGCTTATTTTGAGCCCAAATTACAGAGCTTCCCGTTTGTCGCCGGCGGTCATCTCCACCGTTAGACCTACGATTGGATTCCGCGGAGGGGAGGGGACATTGGTGTTTTCTTGATGCGATGTTATCGTTGGATGAGAAAGCTTCCATCTTTACGAAGGGCTAAAGTAATACAAAGAGAAAAGACAGCTCGAATGATTTGAGGAGTTGATACGGAAGATTTTGAACGGTGATTGTGCAAAAGACGGTGCGAAACAAAGAGATTGATTTTATTATGATGATTGGTGGCTATGGTGAACTGGTAAGTGACAATGCCTCATCAATTATGGTTGGTTATAGACAACAATGGGGCTTCTCACGTTATGTGTTCCATCAGACCAGATTAGATTTGCAGACGAAAGCTGTTCAGAGTCGAGATTGCTGCCTGTAACAGTCACCGTGAAGGACTGTTTCTCGTTCACCGATTTCATAGACAAGACACTAGGCGAGACCGTGACGTTGAGCTCAGGTCCTTGGTTCAAGACAACCTTTGATTTGTATGTAGAGTTTGGGGTACCAAAGTTGGTGACGGTTCTTTCGAAAGTCACGGCGAAGGAGCTATTAGCCACCGGAATTTTAGCCGACATTGAAGGATAGTTGAGGTTTCTTGGTAAAGTTGTTCGACTGCAATTGACTGCTTCACCGGCAATGAGTTTCAAGGCTGTAACGTTGAAGTTCAAGCCGCAGAGAAAGACGATGTGGTCTGCTTTGTCCAGTTCATAGACAAGTCCAGGGTTCAGAGCGGCTATTGGGTTGACATGTCCAGCTCCATAAGCAAACTCGGCTGATTCAAAGCCAGTACCATTCATTGGCCAAGCTGCAAAGACGAGGTAAAAAGACTGTAATAAGAAGAGAGGTTACTAAAAAGACAAGAAAGTAAAAGCTGGATATGGTTTTTGTTTACCGGTTGTCATGATGGCCGATTGGATCACGGAAGGAGACCAGTCAGGATGAAAAGTCTTGACGTACGCAGCCACGCCTGCAACGTGTGGACAAGCCATTGAAGTTCCAGACAGAACAGAGTACTTCACACGTCTAGTGTCACTTGGAGACGGTTCAGCATCAGGTGAAAATGCAGCGAGGATCTCTACTCCAGGTGCTGTTATATCCGGCTGCATATCAAATATCAAATCAATCAACCTTGGTCTTTCACACCGGTAAACATAACAGAACAAATATCAAACTATATATTATTTTTTTACCTTTAGAAGATCAACAGCAACGATGTTTGGACCGCGAGAAGAGAAATAACCAACTGTAGGAGCTGTCTGGTTTAAGATTGTCTCAGTTCTAAGAACAGTGCCTTGCGCGGACCTGAGAAAACATAACACGGAGATTTCAGGACAAAGAAGGAGAATCCAGAGCAAATGTAAAGAGTACGAGAGAGAAGATTGTTTGTTACTTTGTGGACTTAACGTAAGAGACGAGAGAATTATAGTCTTCATTTGATAGAGCAGAGGCTGGCCTAGGGCGAACGACTGCATAGCCGTTAGAGTCTCTAATTATGGTTGCAACAGCTACGCTTGAAATAATTGCAAGTTCTCTCACCAAGATTTTCCCCTTACTCGGATCTCTGTAAAACTGTTCGTATATAAATGGATAATTCTTTCCTTTCAGATCAAAAGAGTTCACTGATTTTCCCTGTTGATGAAAAAAACGAAAGAGGGGGCATAAGATACGATGATGATAGGAATGAGAGAGGATTACTTGGTACTTACGACAAGTGATGATAGAAATGAGAGGGTTACTTGGTACTTACGACAAGTCTCCTTCCGTCTCCGAGAACAACTTTGGTGACGAACGCACGGTTTGTGGTGCTGGCTGCAACGGTAAATATCCATGGTGCTACGCTTGTAACTGTAGCCGTAGTCGGACCGAAGTTACCGGCTCCACTCACGGTGAGAATCCCCTTGGCCATAGCGTGAAAAGCCCCGATCGAAATGGTGTCGTATTCGTAGCTGGCGGGCCTTCCATCAATCGCGAGGGAGACGCTGATGAGGTCAACACCGTCTGCTATCGCGTCATCGAAAGCTGACAGTATAGCTTCCGAGGTACATCCTGTCGAGTCACAGACTTTGTAAGCGGCGACTCTTGCGGCGGGAACGCCGCCTCTTGCCGTTCCATTGCCGAGTACAAAGAAGCTTGTGTTGGGGACTGCGTTTCCAGCCGCAATGGACGATGTGTGTGTACCGTGGCCTTGGCTGTCCCTAGCGCCTTCCTTTGTGTAGTCTCTTGCACCGATCAACTTGCTGATACATTGTAAACACATATCATCATCAATCTCTTCCCAAAACGATATACTAATCTTTCTATAAGAGAAGTGAAGATTGTTACTTGTTGCATGTGAAGTTTTTACCGCCGGCACAAACACCTTTCCATTTCTTAGGAGGTGGACCAAAGCCTTTGTCGGAGAAGCTTTCGGATTCCGGCGTGATCCCAGTGTCGATGAGGCCGATGATAGTATCACTTTCTACGGCCAAGTTTCGCTTTGTGTTCGTTCCTTCCTTCATCCCCATGAAATCCCAAGAGGCAGTCGTTTGGATTTGTAGCTTCTTGCTCGGGAACACAGAAACAACTCCTTCCATTTCTAAGAGAAACATAAAATGGTTTTGATTAGTTTATACATTATATATAACCTTTTAAACCATACGTCAACAGAATTGTGCACCAACACTCACCGGCGATTCTTTCTCGTTCTGACTCAGTGAGTCGGGCCGCGAACCCGTTGAAACTCCTCTTGTAACTTCTCACCAAACGACCTTCGATCGAACTAGAGTATAGACATATATATATTACTTGTTAGACTCTTCATATCAATGATTAGAGAATGAATAAATTAAAAATCGCACCTTTCTCCAGTGACCTCTTGAAGAATACTCATGTGATGCGACATTGGTGTGTAGTCCAATTGAGAAGGAAGTGAACCCATGTAGACAACATACACCTTCATAGGTTATATATCATCATCATCATTCTTATCATGTATGATTGATCATCATTGCATAGGAGTAAACCTACAAATAAAAACAAATAACATACTTGTTTATGTTGACTATCTTCAGTGACGGCTGAGACTGAACTCAAGCACAAGACAACGACACATGAGAGGAGACAGAAGGACACTGCTCGCTTCGCCATCCTTTTTTTCTTATAAAATGAAGTATTAAATGTTATTCTAATTTCTCAGGTTCTATGAAGATAAACATGATAGAGTGCTAATATATACAGTAAAAAAAAAAATCATGTATGAACCATGTCAAGTAAACACATCTTAATCAAATTCCTTTTAAACTCTGTTTCGTATTACCACATATATTTGTATCAAATGATAACATTGTGTATATGTTGACCAATACTTTTTTGGTATTGTATCTACGTTTGTAGGAAACATATCTGTTGCGCACAAAAAAAGGAAACATACGTATGGTCTAAGAGAATTTTTTACTTCTATTTTGGATTTAATTTCTTTTTGTTTTTCAACTTTCTAGCAGTAATTTCATATTTTACCAAAAAAAAAAAACTTTCTAGCTGTAAACCAAAATGTTGTATTACAATAGATTATTTCTCGTTATGGGCTATGATACTTATTTTGACTTGTTTAAAACAAAAAAAAATATTTTGAATACTCGGATCATTTGATACACACAAACAAATAGGGCCCATTTATAGTCTGGGTACAGGCCCGTTTTCTAGACACATCTGACCCAAAAACACAGAGTAAATTTTACGGTGCGGGACGATGTTGGATCCCCGCCCGGGTCTGTAAGGATCTCCGTTCTTCGTCTTCCTCTTCGTTTGCTTGATGTGATCTCACTGTTGGAGGAGAAATCGCTATGAGAAACCTTCTATGTGGCCGGATCGTAGCGGAATCCCGAATCCTGTCGGTAATTCACCTCATATCTGTTCTGTTTTTTACCCTAGCTTTGTAAATTTGTTTGAAGATTTTGGATTTTATTGTTTCAGTTTTAATCGTTGCAGAATTTCTAGGGGAAAAAGGAAAATCTAAGAGCGGAAACCGATTTCTTTGAGGTAATATTGTCTCTGCTACATTAGCTGAGTTTAGTTCAAATAGATGCAAATCTCTCTGAAAATGTTAATGAAAATTGGAACAAAGAAAAATCTAGAATGAAGAAACGCAACAATTATGCATAGACAACAATGGGGCTTCTCACGTTATGTGTGCCATCTGACCAAATCAGATTCGCAGACGAAGGCTGTTTTGGGTCGAGATCGCTGCCTGAAACAGTCACCACGAAAGACTGCTTCTCATTGACTGACTTCATAGATAGAACACTAGGCGAGACCGTGACGTTGAGCTCAGGTCCTTGGTTCAAGACAACCTTTGATATGTATGTAGAGTTGGGGTTGCCGAGGTTAGTGACGGTTCTGTTGAAAGTGACGGAGAAGGAGCTCTGAGATCCTGGAAGTTTTGCCGACATTGAAGGATAATTGAGGTTTCTTGGCAAAGTTGTTCCACTGCAATTGACTTCTTCACCAGAAATGAGTTTCAGGGTATTCGATGTGTAGTTCAAGCCGCAGAGAAAGGAGATGTGGTCTGCTTTGTCCAGCTCATAGACAAGTCCAGGGTTTAGAGCGGCTATTGGGTCCACATGTCCAGATCCAAAAGCAAACTCGGTCGATGCAGTCCCAGTTCCAGTAGCATTCGTTGGCCAAGCTGCAAATACGAGGTAAAAAGACTGTAATAAGAACAGAGGTTACTAAAAAGACACGAAAGTAAAAGCTGGAAATGGCTTTTTGTTTACCGGTTGACATGATGGCCGATTGGATCATGGAAGGAGACCAATCAGGATGAAAAGTCTTGACGTACGCAGCCACGCCTGCAACGTGTGGACAAGCCATTGAAGTTCCAGAGAGAATAGAATACTTCACACGTCTTGGGTCGTTCCCTCCATCTGTTGGTGAAGCCAGAGGTGAATAGGCAGCAAGGATCGCCACTCCTGGTGCTGTTACATCCGGCTGCAATCCATCCACCATTGTCTTTCAGACCAAAGGGAAAAAAAGAAAGAATCAAGAACTTAAAAATGGTATACCTTTAGAAGATCAACAGCCATGGTGTTTGGACCGCGAGAAGAGAAAGAGGCAACTGTAGGAGCTTTCTGATCAAAGATTGCCTCAGTTTTTAGAACAGTGCCTTGCGGGGACCTGAGGAAACAAACACAGAGATATCAGGACAAGGAAGGATAAATCTAGAGCAAGTGTAAAACGTGAAGAGTCTGAAAAAGAGACAAGATCGTTTGTTACTTTGTGGAGTTAACGTAAGAGACGAGTAAGTCAAAGTCATCTTGTGATAGAGCAGACATGGGCTGAGAGGTCACTCCGGATGCATAGCCTTCATAGTCTCTAATTATGGTTGCAACAGCTACTTTCGACCTAATTTTGTATCTGGAAACTAAGATCTTTCCCTTCACGAGAGACTCGTTAAAAGATTCTCCGTACATAAGAGGATACATCTTCCCTTTGAGATCAAAAACATTTATTGATTTCCCCTGTTAAATACAAAGACGTCAAGTAATATAGAGAGACACAGAAGATACTATGATGATAGAAATGAGACTGTCACTTGATACTTACCACAAGCGCATTGCCGTTTCCGAGAACAACTTTGGTGACAAACTCTCGGTTCGTAATACTGGCTGCAACGGTTAGGACCCATGGTGCTATGCTTATAACTGTGGCCGCGTCCGGACCGTCGTTACCGGCTGATTGCACAGTGAGGATCCCTTTGGTCATAGCGTGAAAAGCCCCGATCGCAAGCGAGTCCGCTTCGTATCTTAGGGGAAACTTCCCCCCGAGGGAGACGCTGATGAGGTCAACACCGTCTGCTATGGCGTCGTCGAAAGCAGACAGTAGAGCTTCCGAGGTACATCCGTGTTCGTCGCAGGCTTTGTAAGCAGCGATTCTAGATCCTGGAACGCCGCCTCTTGCCGTTCCATTGCCGAGTCCAAAGAAGCTTGTGTTGACGACTGCGTTTCCAGCCGCAGTGGACGCCGTGTGTGTACCGTGGCCTTGTCTGTCCCTAGTGCCTTCATTTGTGTAGTCTCTTGCACCGATCAACTTGCTGATACATTGTAAACACATATCATCAATCTCTTCCCAAAACGATATACTAATCTTTTAAATGAGAAATTAATCTATAAGAGCGAGGATTACTTGTTGCATGTGAAGTTTGTGCCGCCGGAGCAAACACCTTTCCATTTCTTAGGAGGAGGACCAAAGCCTTTGCCGGAAAAGCTCTCGGATTCCGGCGTGATCCCGGAATCGATGACGCCGATAATGGTATCACTTTCCACGGTCGGGTTCCTCTTCGTCCCCTCACCTTCCTTTAACCCAAGGAAGTCCCAAGACGCAGTCGTTTGGAGCTGTAACTTCTTGTTCGGGAAGACGGACACAACTTCCTCCATTTCTACGCAAAACGTATTATGGAACCTTTACCTTTCTCTAAAATCATTTCAACATAAAAGCGGGAGGACGAAGAACACACTCACCTGCTATTCGCTCTCTTTCTGACTCAGTGAGTCGGGCCGCGAACCCGTTAAAACTCCTCTTATAAATTCTCACCAAACGACCTTCGATCGAACTATTCGTACGTATATATACTACTTGTTAGAATCCTCATAACGTAATATATTATAACTTATCAATGACTAGAGAATGAGGTAATTAGATCATACCTTTCTCCAGTGACTTCGTGAAGAATACTTATGTGGTTCGACATTGGTGTGTAGCTCGGTCGAGACGGAAGTGCACCCATGTAGACAATATACACCTTCGTGGATTATTACATCATGTAAGATAAAACGTAGTAGGGAGAAACAAAACATCTTGATAATTATCAATATTATATATAGATCAATATACTTGTTTATCTCCAGTATCATCTGTGACTGCCGAGACTGAACTCAATAGCAAGATAAGGACGCATGAGAGGAGACAAAAGGAAGCTGCTCGTTTGGCCATCTTTTTCTGATATAATGAATTCAAGTTTACTGTAAGTAATTTCACAATTTCTGTGGAGATGTATAAATAGTAGAATCCACGAATAAATCATATCCTAATTATACCCCTTTGATTCTGTTTCTTATTGTAAAAAGTATTGCCATCTCTACATTTTAATGATATTTGTATCAAATGGTGTTTGTTCATTACAATAAAAACTAGTATGTACAACTGTTATAGTTATATTTGGATAAAATGGTATTTACATGTTAAGGAAACATATTTTGACTAATATCTTGACTAGCCAGACCCGATCCTTCCATAAGGCAAATAAAGCATTATCTAACATCTTTCTCCCGCTTATCTTCTTCAAATTTGTTTTACTTTGATTGCTCTTCAAAACATGGATCGATATTTGTAAAAAATTGAAATTATTGGAATTTCGAAATTGTTCATCTTTGTCTAGCTCTGGTTGTTAGGGAAAGAAGTTTTGATTTTGTCTCTAATTGAATTTAAGTGTTTACATTTGTGTAACTCAAGACTTGTTCTTCAATTTTGTGAATTTAGGGATTTCTGAAAACATTTGGAAATTGAGTGGTATTTGATTTGATGTAGGTGAAAGATTTCTTACTTATCAGGTTCATAATCTGATTTAGGAAGTTTTCCTGAAATTCGCCTTGCTGAATCAGTGGATAATGTTGACAAATGTATTTTGGTGGAAGTAGTCAATGTTTTGCTTAAAATGTGAGTTTATTAGGCTCTAATTGGTAATATTTGTGGAATGGTGGAAAACTTTAAAAACGTAAGAATTTTGCTAATCAAAAAAACTTGCGGAAAAACGCAAAACCGTAAGATCTGCGGAATTGCGTTTTTGCTTACAAAAATCTTTATTAAGCGGAAAAGCATGTTTGGAGTAGATTATTTGCAGGATCAATGTTTATATTATTCAATATATTTTATTATTTAAATAAATACAAATAAATAATTTAGTGTTATAAAAAATTATTTAATGATAAAGTTATATCTATTATTTAAGGTTTGCAATTTTTTTTTTTTGAAAAACAAACTATTAAAAAGTTACAATTAGAATTATATCATTTTATAATAATTGATTGAATTATTAATATTTTTTTATAATATATAGTAAAAAACAGAATATTTTTAATAAGTATATTCTGCAATTCCACCATAATTTATTCAATCGTATTAAAAAAAATTCCACAATTCTGCAATAAATTATTCTACAATTCATTTTTTCTGCAATTCCGTAATTCTGCGATATAAAAAATGTGTTACCAATCGGAGTGTGATTGAAGACATTACGGAAAAGATCTGATGTAGAGCTGTCAAATGGGTGAGCTGTCTATTGTCAGGCCAGGTCCAAATTATTTTGGACGATCATGGTTATATCTAAATGGAAAGCTGTCCAAATGGACTACACCCAAATTTGTTTGCAGTCTAAAGAGGGCCTCACCATATGGTTACTGGACAGTCCGTGGACTTTTAATTTTAGGGTTTTATAATTTTTGTTGATTTGAGGAAAAATTGAGAAACATATTTCTGTGGCCAAAAATATTTTTATCTATGGTTTTCTCCATCAATTCTCGTAATAAGATTTTTAAGTTCTGGATTTTCATTTTTTATTATGGATTTTTGGAATTCTCTTCAAAATTGAATTTTCATCTAAATTTGTTTAAATTTAAGCGGACCACGGACAGTCCAACTGGACCTGGTCATATTTGGATGCGGACATATTTGGACACAGTCACTTTTGGTCACTTTTGGGCATGACCATATTTGTCCATAAAAAAATGTGTATTTGGACATGCCCATTTAGACGTGGATACACCCATTTGACAGCTCTAATCCGATGCAGAGTCAAGCAGGAAGAGCCAAAGAGATACTGATAAAGCTCAGCCAAGTTGGGATGCAAACTGGCATTCTCTGTTTGAATTGATGAACAAATTGCTAGTAGAAGCATTGAGTTTAGTTCAAATATATGCGAAGCTCTCTGAAACTGTGGATGAAGAAGATTCAAACAAAAAAAATCCAGAATGAAGAAACACAACAACTATGGTGAACTGACAATGCCTCATGCATAGACAACAATGGGGCTTCTCACGTTATGTGTGCCATCCGACCAAATCAGATTCGCAGACGAAGGCAGTTTTGGGTCGAGACCGCTGCCTGAAACAGTCACCACGAAAGACTGCTTCTCATTGACTGACTTCATAGATAGAACACTAGGCGAGACCTTAACGCTGAGCTTAGATCCGTAGTTTAAGACAATCTTTGATTTGTATGTAGAGTTGGGGGTGCCGAGGTTAGTGACGGTTCTTTTGAAAGTGACGGAGAAGGAGCTCTTAGATCCTGGAAGTTTTGCCGACATTGAAGGATAGTTGAGGTTTCTTGGTAAGGTCCTTCTACTGCAAGTGACTGCTTCACCAGAAATGAGTTTAAGGGATTTTGAAGTGTATTTCAAGCCGCAGAGAAAGGCGATGTGGTCTGCTTTGTCCAGTTCATAGACAAGTCCAGGGTTTAGAGCGGCTATTGGGTTCACATGTCCAGCTCCATAAGCAAACTCGGTCGATGCATAGCCAGTTCCAGAAGCATTCATTGGCCAAGCTGCAAAGATGAGGTAAAAAGACTGTAACAAGAACATAAGATTACTAGAAACAAAGATGGATACAATCTTTGTTTACCGGTCGTCATGATGGCTGATTGGATCATGGAAGGAGACCAATCAGGATGAAAAGTCTTGACGTACGCAGCCACGCCTGCAACGTGTGGACAAGCCATTGAAGTTCCAGAGATAAAAGAATACTTCACACGTCCTGGGTAGTTCTCTCCTTCTGCTGGTGAAGCCAGAGGTGAATAGGCAGCGAGGATCGCCATTCCTGGTGCTGTTACATCCGGCTGCAATACATCCACCATTGTCTTTCAGACCAAGGGGAAAAAAAAAAGAAACAAGAACTTAAAAGTGTTATATACCTTTAGAAGATCCACAGCGATGGTGTTTGGACCGCGAGAAGAGAAATAAGCAACTTGAGGACCTTTCTGATTAAAGATTGTCTCAGATTTTAGAACAGTGCCTTGCGGGGACCTGAGGAAACAAACACAGAGATATCAGGACAAAGAAGGGATAAATCTGGAGCAAGTGTAAAATGTGAAGAGTATATAAAACGAGAGAGAATGGTTTGTTACTTTGTGGAGTTAACGTAAGAGACGACTGAGTCAAAGTCATCTTGTGATAGAGAAGAAATGGGCTGAGAGTTAATGTGAGCGACGACTGAGTCAAAGTACTCATTGTCTCTAATTATGGATCCAGCAGCTACTTCCGAACTAATTTGGTTTCTGGAAACCAAAATCTTTCCCTTCACCAGAGAATCGTTAAAAGATTCTCCGTACGTAAGAGGATACATCTTCCCTTTGAGATCAAAAGCGTTTATTGATGTCCCCTGTTAAATACAAAGACGACAAGTAATATAGAGAGACACAGAAGATACTATGATGATAGAAATGCGACCGTCACTTGATACTTACCACAAGCGTCTTGCCGTTTCCGAGAACAACTTTGGTGACAAACTCTCGGTTCGTAATGCTGGCTGCAACGGCTAAGATCCATGGTGCTATGCTTACAACTGTGGCCGCCTTCGGACCGTCGTTACCGACTGATTTCACAGTGAGGATCCCTTTGGCCATAGCGTGAAAAGCCCCGATCGCCATCGGGTCCTTATCGTATCTTAGCTGAACCTCTCCCCCGATGGAGACGCTGATGAGGTCAACACCGTCTGCTATCGCGTCGTCAAAAGCAGCCAGTAGAACTTCCGTGGCACATCCGTGTTCGTCGCAAGCTTTGTAAGCAGCTATTCTAGATCCTGGAACGCCGCCTCTTGCCGTTCCATTACCGAGTCCAAAGAAGCTTGTGTTGGCGACTGCGTTTCCAGCCGCAGTGGACGCTGTGTGCGTACCGTGGCCTTCTCTGTCTCTAGTGCCTTTCTTTGTGTAGTCTCTTGCACCGATCAGCTTGCTGATACGTTGTAATCACATATTAGTCTCTTCCCAAAACGATATACTAATCTTTAAAACGAGAAACTTATCTATAAGAGCGAGGATTACTTGTTGCATGTGAATTTTTTGCCGCCGGAGCAAACACCTTTCCATTTCTTAGGAGGAGGACCAAAGCCTTTGCCGGAAAAGCTCTCGGATTCCGGCGTGATACCGGTGTCGATGACGCCGATAATGATATCACTTTCCACGGTCGGGTTCCTCTTCGTGCCCTTGCCTTCCTTTAACCCAATGAAGTCCCAAGACGCAGTAGTTTGGAGTTTTAACTTCGTGTTGGGGAACACAGACACAACTTCCTCCATTTCTAAGCAAAACATATGATGGTTTTGATTATGGAACCTTTACCTTTCTCTAAAATCATTTCAACATTAAAGCGAGAGGACGAAGAACACACTCACCTGCAATTCGTTCTCTTTCTGACTCAGTGAGTCGGGCCGCGAACCCGTTAAAACTCCTCTTATAACTTCTCACCAAACGACCTTCGATCGAACTATACATATGTATATATATCACTTGTTAGAATCCTCATAACGTATATTATAACCAGAGAATGAGATAATTAAACCATACATTTCTCCGGTGACTTCTTGAAGAATACTTATGTGGTTCGACATTGGTGTGTAGCTCGGTTGAGACGGAAGTGCACCCATGTAGACAATATACACCTTAGTGGATTATTATCATCATCAGTTCATCATGTAAGATAAAACGTAGTAGTAAGAAACAAAAATATCTTGATAATTATCAATATTATGTATAGATCAATATACCTGTTTATCTCCAGGATCATCTGTGACTGCTGAGACTGAACTCAAGAACAGCAAGACGAGGAGACACGAGAGGAGACAAAAGGAAGCTGCTCGTTTGGCCATCTTTTTTCTAATGTAACGAACTCAAGTTTACTGTAAGTAATTTTACAATTTTGTGGAGATGTATAAATAGTAGTATCCACACGTAAAACATATCCTAATAATTTGATTCTGTTTCTTATTGTAAAAAGTATTACCATCTCTATATTTTATTTTTATTTGTATCAAATGATTCTTGTTCATTAGTATGTACAGCTGTTTTAGTTATATTTGGATGAAATGGTATCATAGTAGTATTTACATGTTAAGGAACCATATGTTGATTAGTTATTTCTTTATATTTACATGGTGTAGATAATATAAATATATAGAAATTTATATATTGTTTGTGTGATGTGTTACAATATTTTTGTTTGATAGCGTTTTATAGATTAAAAATAGATGAAAAAATAAAAATTATTAGAAAAAAAGAAACTAAAAAGAAATATAACAAATAAGAGAAAATTGGATGCTCATGTTTGATCTATATCTCTAAGACGATATCTAAAAAAAATTAATATAATGTCATAAATTAATTAATGACATAAATTAGATTTTAATAAAATTTTATGCAAAACATACATAATAAAAATGAATAGTTTATGAAGTAATATATAATGTATAAAAGATTTTATAAGTATAAAACTCAGGTAAAAAATATATTTTATAATAAAACCCGCAGATATTTATAAGTATTAGTCTAATAATGTTATGAAAGCAAGAGCAATAAAAACTTTATAAACTAAACAGTAAGTGAGAGAAAAAACGATAATTGCCAACTAATTTTGACATTAATTGATCGCATTCATTAGTATTTCTTTAAAAACTAGTATGCACAACTGTTTTAGTTATATCTGGATGAAATGGTATGATAGTAAGGAAAAATATCTGACTAGCCAGACCTGATCCTTCCATAAGACAAATCCTCCCATAAAACAAATGAAACATTAGCGTTAGGCCACACAATAATTAACAAAAATTAAAGCCACATACTAAAACCTGACATTCGAATTTCAAGCTGTACCTATTGATATTTTGACTTTTTTTCCTTTTTCTTAAAGTCTATTATATTACTTTCTGAAAAAATTGAACTTTTTTTCATAGTTGTTTTTCCTCATTTTCTTCTTTATCTTTTCTAATCATTTTCTATGTATCATAAATTTAAACTAAGACTAAAACAAAATAATAAACAAGTAAACAATTTATCAAAAAGGTAAATAGCTTAATTGATATTTAGTAGTAGTGCATTCAATCCAGATTTGTTTTGTTTATCGCAAAATATATAACTAAAAATATTATAAAACACAATTTAAACAAAAAAAATTATAATTTAGGCCACATTTACAGAAATTTGCTTTAAGCTTCTAAAATTTTAAAGCTGGCACTGTGATTAGCTGTAGTTTTTTTTTTTTGTTGAGTTGATACTACAAAAAAATGAGGATCAAAATTATATTTCTAATAACACCAAACAAATGTGAAGTATTGATGGCTTATGTTGCGACTAAGCAAATATAAATTTGCGTAAGAGCCACTGTTTTTGTATAGGAAAATGTTTTAAATTGGTTTCTACGATTCTATCATTGATTAGGTTAACAAAGCGAAGAACACGTAGTCTCATTTAGATATTTGAAAACATTAGCACATATAGTATCCCCAAACATCGAACATATTTAAAACAAAAGCACACATAGCAACATAAACACAACATAAACACATCAATGATGGAAAGTACAAAGAAAATTTAATTAAATAAAAAGTGTATTTTAAATAGATTATTTAGCAAATTAATATTTATATTATTTTATTATATAACTACTTATATTTTATTATTTAAATAAATATAAATAAACTATTTTAGACTACAAAATTTATTTAATAATATAATTATATCTATTAATTGAGTTTTATAATATTTTTATTTTATAAACAAATTTAAAAATAATTATAATAAAAATAAAGTATTTTCTAATTATATAAAATTATGTTATTTTAATATCTTAATTTTTATAATATCAAATAATATATAAAATATATAATAATAATAATAAATGTTAAATATTTTTATTCCATCATTCTGTCATTCTGCATAATTTATTCAATCATATTAGAAAAATAAATTCTACTATTTTGTAATAAATCATTTCGTAACTTTTTTTCCACCATTTTGCCAATTTTAGTACTTTTAAAAAAATTGTTTGAAAATTTATTCAGATAGAAAGGCCATAAGGCAAAATCCAATACATACAAAGCAGAAAGAAAATTGCAAAATGATTATTAGATGTAGTGTATAGTTTCTCGTTGAATACGATCATGAAGCCATGACGGTCTTCCTAGTGCTAAGTATGATTGAAAACATCCAGTTCTCGTGACACTACTAGTAATATCTCGTGTAATAGTGTTCGCTGCAGGCTTGTCCAGCTCAAATTCACAGACTTCAAATTTTTTGCCTAGTCAGTTTTAGTGTTTTACGGTAAAACCAATGATAATCATCTTCTCTTGTTCAAAAAATAATTTTCAGATAGTCAGACATCTGATACACATACAAATAGGGCCTATTTCTAGTCTGGGTACAGGCCCATTTGTAAACACATCTGACCCAAAAACACTGATTAAAGTAAATTTTCCGGTGCGGACGTTGTTGGAACTTGGAACCATGGACCCGCGCCACGCGTCTCCAGGACGCGGGACTGTGAGGATCTCTGTTTTCGCCGTCTTCAGTTTCTTCGTCTTCCTCTTCGTTTGCTTGATATCGTCATGAGAAAGCTTCTGCGTGGCCGGATATTAGCGAAATTCCGAATCCCGTCGGTGACTTCACCTCGTATATCTGCTTTGCAAATTTGTTTGGAGATTTTGGATTTCACTGTTTTGATTTTAATTCGTCGCAGATCTTCCAGTGACCAGAGCGGGAATCGATAAATCTGAGGTAACATTGTGTCTGCCACATTTCTGATATGGATTCTGCTTTTTAATATATATAATTGGAGCCTTGATCCTTATAATGAGAAAATGCTTGAATTGGATATTGTGTTGTAGTTTATATATGGTTGAGTTTAGTTCAAACAGATGCAAAGCTCTCTGAAACTGTGTTTGAAAAAGATTTAATCAAAAAAATCTAGAATGAAGAAACACAACAACTATGGTGAACTGATAATGCCTCATCAGTTTATGCATAGACAACAACCGGGCTTCTCACGTTATGTGTGCCATCTGACCAAATTAGACTCGCAGACGAAGAAGGCAGTTTTGGGTCGAGACTGCCTGAAACAGTCACCGTGAAAGACTGCTTCTCATTCACTGACTTCATAGATAACACACTAGGCGTGACCTTGACGTTGAGCTTAGATCCGTGATTTAAGAGAATCTTTGATTTGTATGTAGAGTTGGGGGTGCCGAGGTTAGTGACGGTTCTGTTGAAAGTGACGGAGAAGGAGCTCTTAGATCCTGGAAGTTTTGCCGACATTGAAGGATAGTTGAGGTTTCTTGGCAAAGTTGTTCCACTGCAAGTGACTGCTTCACCGGCAATGAGTTTAAGGGTTCTTGAACTGTAGTTCAAGCTGCAGAGAAAGGCGATGTGGTCTGCTTTGTCCAGTGCATAGACAAGTCCAGGGTTTAGAGCGGCTATTGGGTCCACATGTCCAGATCCATAAGCAAACTCGGTCGATGCATAGCCAGATCCATAAGCAAACTCGGTCGATGCATTCATTGGCCAAGCTGCAAATATGAGGTAAAGAGACTGTAATAAGAGCAGAGGTTACTAAGAAGACAAGAAAGTAAAAGCTGGATACGATTTTTGCTTCCCGGTTGTCATGATGACTGATTGGATCATGGAAGGAGACCAATCAGGATGAAAAGTCTTGACGTACGCAGCCACGCCTGCAACGTGTGGACAAGCCATTGAAGTTCCAGAGAGAATAGAATACTTCACACGTCTTGTGTCGTACCCTTCGGGAGCTGGTGAAGCCAAAGGTGAATAGGCAGCGAGGATCGCCACTCCTGGTGCTGTTACATCCGGCTGCAATCCATCCACCATTGTCTTTCAGACCAAGGGGAACAAAAAAAGCATCAAGAAGTCAAGAACTTAAAAATGTTAATACCTTTAGAAGATCAACAGCGATGAGATTTGGACCGCGAGAAGAGAAAGAAGCAACTTGAGGAGCTTTCTGATTAAAGATTGCCTCAGTTTTTAGAACAGTGCCTTGCGGGGACCTGAGGAAACAAACATAGAGAGATATCAGGACAAAGAAGGGATAAATCTGGAGCAAGTGTAAAATGTGAAGAGTATAAAAAAGAGACAAGATCGTTTGTTACTTTGTGGAGTTAACGTAAGAGACGACTGAGTCAAAGTCATCTTGTGATAGAGCAGACATGGGCCGAGAGGTAACTCCGGATGCATAGCCTTCATAGTCTTCAAATATGGATGCAACAGCTACTTCCGAACTAATTTTGTATCTGGAAACCAAGATCTTTCCCTTTACCAGAGAATCGTTAAAAGATTCTCCATACATAAGAGGATACATCTTCCCTTTGAGATCAAAAGCATTTATTGATGTCCCCTGTTAAATACAAAGACGACAAGTAATATAGAGAGACACAGAAGATAGAGAAATGAGACCGTCACTTGATACTTACCACAAGCGTCTTGCCGTTTCCGAGAACAACTTTGGTGACAAACTCTCGGTTCATGGTGCTGGCTGCAGCGGTTAAGACCCATGGTGCTATGCTTATAACGGTGGCCGCCTCCGGACCGCTGTTACCGGCTGATTGCACAGTGAGGATCCCTTTGGTCATAGCGTGAAAAGCCCCGATCGCAATCGAATCCTGTTCGTATTTTTGGGGAAACTTCCCCCCGAGGGAGACGCTGATGAGGTCAACACCGTCTGCTATGGCGTCGTCGAAAGCAGACAGTAGAGCTTCCGAGGAACGCCGCCTCTTGCCGTTCCATTACCGAGTCCAAAGAAGATTGTGTTGGCGACTGCGTTTCCAGCCGCAGTGGACGCTGTGTGCGTACCGTGGCCTTGGTTGTCCCTAGTGCCTTCCTTTGTGTAGTCTCTTGCACCGATCAACTTGCTGATACATTGTAAACACATATCATCAATCTCTTCCCAAAACGATATACTAATCTTTAAAGCGAGAATTACTTGTTGCATGTGAAGTTTTTACCGCCGGAGCAAACACCTTTCCATTTCTTAGGAGGAAGACCAAAGCCTTTGCCGGAAAAGCTCTCGGATTCCGGCGTGATCCCGGAGTCGATGACGCCGATAATGGTATCACTTTCCACGGTCGGGTTCCTTTTCGTCCTCTCGCCTTCCTTTAACCCAATGAAGTCCCAAGACGCAGTAGTTTGGAGTTGTAACTTATAGTTCGGGAACACAGACACAACTAACTCCATTTCTACGCAAAACGTATTATGGTTTTGATTATGAAACCTTTCTCTAGAATCATTTCAACATAAAAGCTAAGTGTCACGATCGAAGAACACTCACCTGCTACTCGTTCTCTTTCTGACTCAGTGAGTCGGGCCGCGAACCCGTTAAAACTCCTCTTATAACTTCTCACCAAACGACCCTCGATCGAACTACGTATACATCACTTTTTAGAATCCTCATAACGTTATATATTATAACTAAATCAATGACTAGAGAATGAGGTAATTAAAGCATACCTTTCTCCAGTGACTTCTTGAAGAATACTTATGTGGTTCGACATTGGTGTGTAGCCCGGTCGAGACGGAAGTGCACCCATGTAGACAATATACACCTTCGTGGATTATTGTCATCATCAGTTCATCATGTAAGATAAAACGTAGTAGGAAGGAACAAAAATATCTTGATAATTATCAATATTATGTATATATAGATCAATATACTTGTTTATCTCCAAGATCATCTGTGACTGCTGAAACTGAACTCAATAGCAAGACAAGGACGCATGAGAGGAGACAAAAGGAAGCTGCTCGTTTGGCCATCTTTTTTCTTATGTAACGAGTTCAAGTTTACTGTAAGTAATTTCACAATCTCTGTGGAGATGTATAAATAGTAGTATTACCATCTCTATATTTTAATGATATTTTAAGTAATTTCATAATCCCCCTTAGATTCTGTTTCTTATTGTAAAAAGTATTACCATCTATATATTTTAATGATATTTATATCAAATGTTTATGTACAACTGTTTTACGAAGTGTTATTTGTATTTTTAATGGATTTGAGAATCTAAACCAAATTCAGTGTATTATTTTTTGTATTTTAAAATCTAAATATTATAAGGATTTTAGTTTTCATTGAATTTAAATGAATTTGAAAGAATTTTAAAAACTAAAATACAAAGACCTAAATATAGGATTTAACATTGGTATTTGGATATGTTTTTTTTTTCTTTTTTGCTGATTTTAAATTCAATAGATTTACAAATTTAAAAAAGATTTCTAAATTCATTAAAATATAAGAACTAATAATTTTTACTAAGTTATATTTGGATAAATTGGTATCATAGTAGTATTTACATGTTAAGGAAACATATCTTGACTAGCTGTAGTTTTCTTTTTTTGTTGTTGTTAAATACTATAAAATATTTAATATGTTTAATTATTATTAATATAGTATTAAAAATATTTTATTTGTATATAATTAATTATGTATTAATAATAAAAATGATAAATTAAATATAAAATATTAAAAATTTCAAAAGAAAATGAAGATAAAAAATACTAACTAAGATTTTAACATATTTCCTTAGATAAAAAAATGTAAATATGATAACTAAATAAATAGGAAAACATGAAAGTCTATAATTATTTATTTAATTTTTATTTTTGGCTCGTACGCATGTGCGTGTTTAATTTATTTTAGACATAATTAGTTGTAGTGTAATATTTAAGTATTGATTAATTTTCTTATATTTTATGTAAACGTTATGTTTATATACAAATATAGTTTTAGTGTTCAACAACAATCACACAAATGTTGTTTATCTTTTTGTGTCTTTTGAATTTTATTTTATTTTTTCTAGCGTTTACATTAACAAATAATTGCAAATATAAAAGTTATATTAAATAATAATTAAATTTTTATAAAATGTTTTGAATATTATCTATACCTATACTTTCGTTTTCTCCTTACACAATATAATCTTGCCATATATATTAAATATTTTTTCTTTGACCTATTGCTAATTAAACAGAAATGAATTTTATCATATTTACTCACATTCGTGCGTACCAACCACCTCACCGTTTTTAGGACATATAAAGTTTTTTTAAGAAAATACAAATTGTCTAACAATTAAAATTAAGTTAACAAAATATATGCACGACAAATTTGCATGCAAGTTTGACTTTTACACAATTAATATTTATATATACACGCACATTTTTAAGAAAATCGAAGTATGATGTTTATGTGTTAAAAGAAAATAACAAAGTATATGTTTTGTAATACATCTTTTTTATAATGTATGGTTGATTTTTTTAAAAAAAATTATATATATTTATGCATTTAGGTATGAGTTAGAAATAAGTGAAATGTAATATTTAGGTGTTGGTAAGTTTTTTTTTTTTTCGCAAACGTTATATTTTTATACGATGCAGTTATTGGCATTAAACAACAATAACGAAAATCGTTTCTATCGTTTAGTATTTAATCAAAATTTCTTATTTTTCAGTATTTTATGATATATGATTTCTCAATAAAAATATCATAAATATTTATTATAAAATTTGTGAAATCATATTATATAAATTTCTCCATTAGCTCTTCGCTCATCTCTTCGTCAAAATTTTTAATAATCTGCAATTGCTCATTTCCACAAACTCTCTGTAACATAATCGTTTAAGCCAATCAGTTCTAAACTTATTTGTGTATGATTTAAAATATAAAATAATATATTTAATATTTGATTGTTATATTAAAAATTAATTGTTGATCTGTTCCTAACATTAATATATTTGTTACTACAAAATATAATGGATCATAACATATACAAAAAAATGATTCATGAAATAATGTTTTAATATGTTGGAAAAATATATGCATGAAAGAATTAATACGTGTAAGATAATTTTTTTTAAATATTTTAAATAAAAACATAAAATCGATCAAAACTATTCTTATTTTTTTTTCTCTTCTTTGACTCATATTTTTTCTAACCTTTAATAATATATTTAACATTAAGATCATCTCAAATGTATTTTTTTATTTTTTTCTCTAAAATATAAGTGGACTTCTCTCCAACCTATTTCTATTTTACAGAAAAAGAAAGATTATTATTTTTTCCTCTATAATTGAAAAAAAAGTAACAACCTTTCTTATTCCTCTAAAGTATAACATTTAAAATAAAAGTGAGTTGGAGATGCTTTAAATAAAAAATATAACCTGAGATTTTTATGTAAAACCAAAGTCGTAAAGATTCATTTTTACTTTTACTTCTACTTTTTATTCATATATACAATATTATAATATAAAAAAAGTTGGCTAAGAGGATATTTATAATTTATTATTCTCTCTGTGTATTTTTTGTTTTATTTATAATTTTAAATTCTTGCTATATAATATAAAATTAATTCACATATGATATTATCTTTTTTCTTATTTAAAAATAAGATTTATTTAGTTTTAACTTAACCAATCAAAATATTTCGTTTATTTTAGAAAATTTGTCATGTCACATTTATGACATGACATTGTTTTACATTAAATTTTCTTTAGGTGTTGACACATAGAATTTTTTTAGTAAACATGCTTCTCAAATAATATATAGGATATGGGAATCAAAATTATATTTCCAAATTCCAATAACACCAAGCAGTGATGGAAGTTATCGAGTGGCTCATGGTTGTGACTAAGCACGTATAAATTGTGGCTAATCGTGAGAGCCACTTTTTTTTTGTAGGAAAATGTTTTAAATAGGTTTCCATCTAGACGTCCTTATAGATTAATTTACATAAACTTAGAAGGAAATAGCACAATTTTGGAATATAACCGCTTGCGTCCAGGTGGGTCCGAATCAGTGATCAGGCTAATAAAGCGAAGAACATATATATGTAGTCTCATTTAGATATTCGAAAACATTAGCACACATATAGATCCCCAAACTTCGAACATATTTAAACAAAAGCACACATAGCTACATAACAGCAGCAATAATGGTATATTGTGACGACAGTGATGATAATAGTAAAAAGATGTGAATGGATGTGGCCTCATCAGTCACTAGTATAAACAACAATGGGGCTTCTCACGTTATGTATGCCATCTGACCAAATTAGATTCGCAGACGAAGGCAAATATGGGTCGAGACCGCTGCCTGAAACAGTCACCACGAAAGACTGCTTCTCATTCTCTGACTTCATAGATAGAACACTAGGCGAGACCGTGACGTTGAGCTTAGATCCGTGATTTAAAAGAATCTTTGATTTGTATGTAGAGTTAGGGGTGCCGAGGTTTGTGACGGTTCTGTTGAATGTGACGGAGAAGGAGCTCTTGGATCCTGGAAGTTTTGCCGACATTGAAGGATAGTTGAGGTTTCTTGGCAAAGTTGTTCCACTGCAAGTGACTGCTTCACCAGAAATGAGTTTAAGGGATTTTGAAGTGTAGTTCAAGCCGCAGAGAAAGGCGATGTGTTCTGCTTTGTCCAGTTCATAGACAAGTCCAGGGTTCAGAGCGGCTATTGGGTCCACATGTCCAGCTCCATAAGCAAACTCGGTCGATGCAATCCCAGTTCCAGTAGCATTCATTGGCCAAGCTGCAAAGATTAGTTAAAAGACCGAATTATTAAGAACATACATATATATATATATATATTAAAGACATTGTATCTAATTTTTAAGATGATGAATTGCTCTAGATAAGGGGAAAAGTTAATTAGAACATCTCACTTATTGTCGATTAGTTTTGAATTGAAAACAAAATACAATTCCTAATAGTCTACAAAGGTTACTTTCGGCACAAGAAAGTAAAAAGATGGGTATGGTTTTTGCTTACCGGTTGTCATGATGGCTGATTGGATCACGGAAGGAGACCATTCAGGATGAAGCGTCTTGACGTAAGCTGCCACGCCTGCAACGTGTGGACAAGCCATTGAAGTTCCGGTGAGAACAGAGTACTTCACACGTCTTGGGTCGTTCTCTCCCGCTATTGGTGAAGCCAGAGGTGAGTAGGCAGCGAGGATCTCTACTCCTGGCGCTGTGATATCGGGCTGCAATTCAATTAACCATTATATCTGTTAGACCAGAAAGCAAGAGTGAACCATGCAATATCATAAAAATGTTAGTACCTTTAGAAGATCAAATGCGACAGTGTTTGGACCGCGGGAAGAGAAGGAAGCAAGTTTGGGAGCTTTCTGATTTAAGATTGCTTCACTTTTCAGAATAGCCGCTTTCGGGGACCTGAGAAAAAAACAAACATGGATGATATGATCAGGACAAAGTAAGGAGAATCCAGAGCACACGTAAAGACTGTGAAACAGATAGAAGATGGTTACTTTGTGGACTTAGCGTAAGTGACAAGAGAGTCAAAGTCTTGCAGTGAAAGATAAGAGAGGGGCCAAGGGGTAATGGAGGCATAGTCCTTTTCTTCTTCAAATACGAATCCAACAGCTAATTCTGAACCAATCGGATAATCGCACACCGCGATTTTGCCATTCACCAGAGATTTATTACTACAAGCTTCAGATTCTCCGTACACAAGAGGATACTTTTTCCCTTTCAGATCGAAAGCATTCAATGATTTTCCCTGTTAAAGGAACAAAACAGTCACTGGGAAGCAAATGGAGAAAGATTTTAGTTATGACCACAACAAAATGAGAACGTTTCTTGATACTCACGACAAGTGTCTTGCCGTTTCCAAGAACAACTTTAGAGATAAACCCACGGTTCGTGGAGCTGGCTGCAACGGTTAAGATCCATGGCGCTACACTCGAGACCGTGCTTGGATTCGGACCCTTATTACCGGCTGCGTGCACAGTGAGAATCCCTTTGGCCATGGCGTGAAAAGCACCAATCGCCAATGCGTCTTGGTCGTACACAATGGCCTCGTCTCCGCCGAGGGAGATGCTGATGAGGTCAACACCATCCGCGATCGCGTCATCGAACGCAGACATTACCCATTCCGTGGCACACCCTTTCACGGTGCAGACTTTGTAAACGGCGATCCTAGATGCCGGAACGGCGCCTCTCGCTGTTCCATTGCCGATTCCAAAGAAGCTTGTGTTGGCGACTGCGTTTCCAGCCGCCGTGGACGCCGTGTGTGTACCATGCCCTCCATAATCCCTAGCACCTTTGCTTGTGTAGTCTCTTGCCCCAATCAACTTACTGGAAAATAATAAACAGATTAATTAACAATATTAGATTTTATTTTTGTAATCAAAAGAGTTTATGTCGGAATTTCAAACTAATTTCTAGGTGTTTCTCGAAAATACATCTCTAGAATTTCACTAATAGCAAAAAGATTGGTTTTAGAAGACTTACTTGTTGCATGTGAAATTTGCGCCGCCGGAGCAAACACCTTTCCATTTCTTAGGAGGAGGACCAAAGCCTTTGTCGGAGAAGCTTTCGGATTCCGGCGAGATCCCAGAGTCGAAGACTCCGACAATAGTATCACTCTCTACGGCCAAGTTTCGCTTTGTGTTATTTCCTTCCTTTAACCCCATAAAGTTCCAAGACGCCGTCGTTTGGAGTTTGTACATTTTGCTCGGGAACACAGAAACAACTCCCTCCATTTCTAACAATGATTAATTAATTAATTTTTTTGAACTTATGATTAATTAATTATTGAAGAAGATACCATTCCAGAGTATTGTTAAATATTTGGATTTGTTTCGAAAGACTCACCGGCTACACGTTCTCGTTCTGACTTAGTGAGTTGAGCAGCGAACCCGTTGAAACTCCTCTTGTAACTTCTCACCAAACGACCTTCGACCGAACTAGAGTATATACACACACATATGGATATATAATTTGTTACAAATCTTCACTGTAATTATATAAACTAATTGGAGAATTCATTAATTAAATCATACCTTTCTCCGGTGACTTCTTGAAGAATACTTACGTGATTCGACATTGGTGTGTAGTCCGGTCGAGACGGAATTGAACCCATGTAGACGATATACACCTTGGTTATCATGCATCATTATCATGTATTATGTATCATCATAGGGAGAAACAAAGATTTTTTCTTTTTAAATGATTAAAATAACATACTTGTTTATCTTGACGATCATATATGACTGCTGAGACTGAACTCAAGAACAAGACAAGTACACATGAGAGGAGACAAAATTTAGTTGCTCCTAATTTCACCATTTTCTTAAGAAATCTTATAAAAGGTTACACCAAATTTTATAATCTCCGTGGAGATCAGCATGAAATGAAATGAGAGGATATTTATACTGAACATTTTAAATATATCATACTTTTTGTAGAAACTCTATATATTGATATTTGAGGTTATTTTTGTTATTTAATATGTGTATTTCATGTAAAGTTATTATCAAATTTGTATAATTTTAAAATGCTTCATTTTTTATATAAAAGCTATCAAATTTCTGTCCTATAAATACCAAATTATTTTATTGTTAGAAACTATATTCTACAATATTTCCACATTGTAAATTTTTATCTATATATTATGCAATTATCATTATTATATATATACATATATATCAAATTTAATAGTACATAAATATGACTAAATTTTTGCCATTTGTCATATTCTGGATGTCTAATCAAATACTCCTTCTGTTTTTTATTAGATGATGTTTTAGAAATGTGCATACAGATTAAGAAATCATTTAATTTTTTATTTTTTTAAAAAAATATATATCTTTTTGTCAATTCCAAGACAGTTCAACCAATAAAAAAAAAGATTGAAAATTAAAACAGTTAAAACAACAAAAACATAAATAATTTCTGCATAGAAATTTGAAAATATAATATATTTTAGAAAAAAAGAAAATTCTAAAATATTATCTAATAAAAAACAGAGGGAGTAGCACTTTTTTGGTGTGGAGGCCAAAATCAATATTGGGCTCACTTCTCTTCTCAATATTGGGCTTGGAGATGAACCCATATAATAAAATAGAATAAAAATGGTCGGTCCAACTCTTGCCATGTTCATCTATGCTTCTTGAAAGATCATCTTCACCAAACCTGAAGAGTGAAGACATAATATGGTCCCTGAGCATTCCCGAAGCTAACTCCGAACCTCAATCTGTTTCCTCTTCTCTCCTCCGTGGCTCTACACAGAGGTTAGTTCTATGCTCTTAGAACTTTGTCGTATTGGAGCCAATTCTAATTTGGAGATTGAATAATCTCACTTTCTTTTATAAAGTCCCATATTCCTGCATATTTTGATAAAAGTATGTGATCAATCGTCAAGGGGATTATATAAACTTCTTCTCATCGATATCGAACTTGTGATTCTGAATAATAAAAGAATCACATCTTGGATGTTTTAACAGTGTGGTGTTCTTAGTCTCAGGGACAGCAATCCTAGTTTTGTCCGAAGCTTCGAGCTCTAAGCTATGGCTGTCACCAAGATTTATATAGTGTGAGTCTTAAATCTATCAGTGCGATGTTAATCAACCGGCGCTCAATTTTTCTCCGGTCAAGAGTAATCTGCGATTTTATCAGACAGAACTAGATCGAGATTCTGTGCCGGTTGTGTAATACCGGTTTGATTTTGACGAAAAATCCGGTTATTTTTTTGGTTTTCGTGGTAGGTACTATTCGTTGCACGGCCACGTCGAGACAATGGCACGAGAGGTTCTCCGAGGAGCAAACGCCGTCCCAGACGTGGAAGCAACACTGTGGCAAATACCGGAGACATTACATGAGAAGATACTTGAGAAAGTGAAGGCCGCTCCGAGACCGGACGATGTGCCGGAGATTCGTGGGGAGCAACTGGCGGAAGCCGACGGATTCATGTTCGGGTTTCCTTCGAGGTTCGGGGTGATGGCATCGCAGTTCATGACCTTCTTCGACAACACAAACGATCTCTGGACCTCACAGGCTCTTGCCGGGAAACCAGCCGGAATCTTCTGGAGCACGGGTTTTCACGGTGGAGGCCAAGAACTCGCTGCGTAAGAAAGAACATAGTCCTAAGTAAACACATAGCAACATCACAAAGGCTTATAGTCAAAATGATTGGTTTATTGAACTGCAGATTGACGGCAGTGACAAAACTGGCTCATCACGGGATGATATTTGTACCCTTAGGGTACACATTTGGTAAAGGCATGTATGAGATGGGAGAGGTTAAAGGTGGTTCGCCGTACGGCTCAGGGACTTATGCAGCTGATGGGTCACGCGAGCCAACGGAACTTGAGATCCAGCAAGCAAATTACCATGGCAAGTACTTTGCAGGAATAGCCAAGAAACTCAAGAAGCGTTCTCCTGCCTAGAACTGAATCGACTCTGTGTTTTCTCTTTGTCCTACACTCAAACTGTAAAGTAAAAAAAAGGAGAAAGCTCTAAAATAAAATTGACATATACAGAGAAGAGAAACATTGAATAATCTGTGTGTAAGCTAACGGGTCATTGAATCTTTATCTCCCAAAGACTCTTGCTACAACTCAGAGAGACTATTTGATCATGTAAAGCATGACTACAACTTGATATATCAATACACAGAATCGCTATTGATCGTCAATGTCATTGCGATCTTTGACAGATCTCAACATGAAACTTCTTCTACCATTCTCATGAACCCAACCGGTAAGCAAAAGTGTTGATAGTGAAAAAGCTTATTGTCTCGTCAAAAACTAAACTTTTGACGATTTTGTTTCCTTGGGACCTCGCAAAAATACTTTTTTTAACCTTACGTTTACCCTGTTTACAGTATACACATGAATAGCCAATTTGAAATGTAGATTATAGTTGTGAGTAAACTAAACCCCTGTTCTTCAAAAGAAGATGGTTTATGTTTGTAAACAGTAACTGGGAACCACAACCAAATGCACAAAAAGCAAGTGGAGCTCTCCCAATAAAATGGTAAAAGAAGAGAGTTTAAATAGACGGGACTACTACTACTACTTCTGCTAACTCTAATAAATATACAAAGGAATCCTCCTTTTCCTCCCAAATTTAAAGTCTATATAATATACAGAACCGGTCTTGGCCTTTTCCTTCTTTCACCGCACATGGCAATCGTATGGAGAAGACGCAAACGCCTGATCTGGAACCACCAGTGGTAACTTCTCAATGTACACAAACAACCGTTTCTGGTTCTCTCTAACGATTGCAGACAGGTTCACTGTATCTGTCTTGTCCAAGAACATCCATAGTTCACACGACTCTACTCTCTTAAGACTGTCTCTGCAGAAAGGGCATGACTGTGACCTCCCTCTCCTAAGAGAAAACATTTTGACCCTTTTTTTTCAGCAAACCGGTTTTTCACATCCATAGCTTAAAAAGAAGAAACTTTTTTTTTACAGTGACTTACCAATCGCGATAACACTTGATGCACAAAGAATGAGTACAGTTTGGAAGCACGACCATGCTGTTCATCTCCATACAGATTCCACATTCTTCTTCTCTTTCCATCTCAATCTCCGAGAACTCACACTTCTCTGTTTCGTCCTTCTTTCTGTACCGCATGCTGCATACCTCTTTTTGTTTCCGGTCTTCTAAGTCTGTAATACCCTTTTGTAGTTGTAACAACGATGGGAATATAACAGCTAATACCCACACAAAAAAAAAGCAAACAGAAAGTCATAAGCACATAAACAACATCAACCTCGTTTTATCAGAAACTATATCAGTGCCAAATATACACATACCGTAGAACTCTCTAATACTGGCTTTTCTCTCGTAAACCGACATTGTTGTTTTCCCATCCGCATAAGTCTGAATCATATATACAGTAGCTCAACGAGTTAAATCAAACAGTCACAAAGAAGAGTATATGGTGAATGTAGTAAAACAAAAAGGGGGAAAGTTACCATATAGATAAGAACTCTGAGTAAACCGAGAGCACCAGCGAGGTGACAATCAGTCCACTGTACAAGAAAAAGAAGAAACTGAGCAGCCGGGCTGTAAGATAATCTCATCTGAACGCGAGCTCCATCTTTCTCCCGAGGATAATCTAAAGCTCTGTTATTCATTTCGAGAAAGAAAAAAAAAAAAAAAAAAAAAAGTTAAGGCAAGAAAGATCATAAGCACCTCTAACAATAAACAGAAATAAACAGAGTTTTGGTCCAAGGCATCAAAAGTTTCAAACAGAGATATGTAGTTTAGGCATTGATCGGTTCATGTGTATGCATGTAGAGCTATTAATATAACATTCCATGACGCAATCAAAGAAACGTTGTCCTTTGGCATATTAGTCTAGTTAAAATGATTCAGCCTCCGATTAAAGAACAAAAACAAAAAACAGCCGCTACAGTTCAGACGTTACTGATTCAGCAGCTGAGAAGTTAAGTTTCAAGTCAACTATTCAAGAACAAGAATCACATGGGGTCATTAACTTTCCCTCCTTGTAGATAAACCCTAACTCAGTGATCAAATTGAATACCCAGAGAACACAGGGCGTACAATTTCTCAACTCTTACACCATAAGAAATCACCTCAGAAACCCACTAGTGGACCTATGACTATGAGAATCAAGCTACAGAACCTGAAAGAAATTTTCAAAGACTTCACTTCAATCAAAAAGGAACATTCGATTGTATATACTCGTACATGCAAACCAAACCAAACAAACGAATAGAGAAAAGGGTAAAAAGACATTAGAGAGATTAAGAACACCCAGAATTTAAAACTTGGAACTTTAAACGCTGAGATAAGCTATTAAACGCACAACTAAAATCTGAAAAAGATCGAGACTTTACTCTTTTAAGATCATTAAAGCCGATGAAACTGGGAAAACTAAAGAGGAGGGATCGAGGGTTTACAGTGTGTTAGCGTGCTGGATATCGGCTTCTAGAGCTTTAAGAGAATCCTTGAAAGACAATTTGGCCATGGCAAAGTGAATCTCCCAGAAAATAATTTCACAGCAAAACGAACAGAGAATCGAGAAGTAAACAAAGATATTAAAGCATATCGAACGAGAGAGGTAGAACAAAAAGGAAAAATCCCAAAAGGTTTCTCTTTTCGGAGTTCACCCAATCCGATGATGATGATCAAAAAAAAATTACATAAATGAGGAGAGAGAGAGGAATTACGAGAGGAGTGGTATATTTGTAAATTCGGATTTTTGTTGATAAAACCCTCTTAAGCGCGCCTATCAGTTACGATTCTCGAAGTTGCTTTTTCAAGAAAAGTCGCGAAACTGTGCATGAATTGACATTTATGCCCTTGTTTTAATAATCTCCTGTTTTTGGCGTACCCATTGTTTTTTCGTCAGTTTCCATTAAAGGATATGGCCCACTTGGCGATAATAATTTGAATTAGACCTTATACTCATATGTCATATACTGTATTGTGAAAAAAGTATTTCGCGCATTATCGTTTGACCTATACTATTACTATCACCGAGTATAGGTCAAAAAATGTCTTAAATACTCTACGCAATATTGAAAAATAAGTAAAACTGCCAACATGAGAAAAGTAATGGAGACATATGTTAAAAAAAAATATATATATATTTGAAAACAGTTTTTATATAGTGTACTTTCTGTATACCTTGAATAAAAGGTTGTGCTATTCTACTTAGTAATTTTATCATAAAGTCACGTCACGGATAACATAGTAATTTTCAAAATAATACAACATTTTTTATGCAAATGGAATAACCAAATTATTTAATCGGAAAAGTACTTTAATTTAGTGTTTTTGAGTGAATAAACTCAACTAGATTAGGTGATACGCGTACAAAAATGCTTGGAGATATATAATATGGAAAGGAGGTTAAGAATGGGTCTACAGAAAATAGCATTTGTTTAATTTATACAGGCCCACTAAATAAAGGGCGCCCTGATTTTTTATTTAAGAAAAAAAAGGTGGACAAAAACATTATTGTGCCATATTGAGATTTTTTTAGTTTCTCTATAAGTTTTATACTTTTACTAAAAGTTTGGCTATCATGCATGTGTAAATATAAACAATTTTTAAATTTTAATTATATAAATACAATATTTAAATTGTTATAAATATTTTAATTTTTTGAAATATATAAAAAATTAGATAGAGCGATTAAATTATAGGTCTTCATAGCAAAATATGATATAATTTTAACTAAACATTTTATTATAACAAAAGGCCCATTTTATTATGTTAAGGGGCCAAATGGATCAGATATGTGGATAGCTGGTTGAGCGGGTTACCTGCTGTGAATTTGCAGGTCAGGCGTGCAAATTTCTTCATTTTTTTGTCTTCAATTAATCTTCCTCAATTTATCCAGTTATTTAGCCTCTAAATTCTTGACTTCTTTGTATAAAATAAATATTTAAACTAAAATAAATTAAACACAGAAAATTATTTGAACTTATATATATATTCCAACTTCTCTTTGTATATTTGTTTAGCTTATGTTTCGTATGGACAACAAAAATGAGCTCTTTAGTTAAACATTATTAGATTAATGTTACTTTGGATTATATAGTCGGTGCATGTGGTGAAGATAGTTCTCATAATTTTTATACAATTTGATGATACAATTAATGTTGCGTTGGATTATATTGCGGAAAGACAATCTCAAAAAGACTATTAAAAGTAGATAATTATACTTCGGTTAACAAAACGTGGTATACTCTAACTTCTCTTTATATATGTTTATTTTCTATTTTGTGTGGACAAAAAAAAATGGGTTCTTTAGTTAAACATTGTTAGATTAATGTTATTTTAGATTATATAGTCGATGCATGTGATGAAAATATAAATTTTATACAATTTAATGTGTACAAATCTGTGCATACAATAAAAATATAACATATATTTTATGCATGTGATAAAACGATAATTTACAATTTATATTAATAATTAAATATTTAGTATTTTTAGTTTTCAGAAAATAATTATTTAAACTAAATAAAATTAACCACATAAATTTTTTTTTGTCATGTCATAATCCACATATGTTAGCAAATGCCATATCACAATTACATCATCATTAGTTTAATCAATTTTATACTTTTATTATCTACTCATGCAGGTCACGAGATTAATACATTTATACATCATTGTGCCATATATAAGTTTAGGTTCTCTATTGTATCTATTTATTTTTATTCCATCAATCTCATTTCATATTTACCATTTATAATCTAAATATATTACATCTAAAAAAAATGAGAAGAAAAATCACGAAAAGCCAACCGTCTAAATCCATTTTCAACGTTTGAAATCCATTTTTTGTTTTCAAATTCTCTAAAATTCCAGGACTATATGTAATATGTCTATATCACGTTAAAAATACATATGTGTTCTAGTGCAACTTCGAACGAACATACAATTAATTTGTATCAGAAATTTAATTTCACGTTATTCGAAAGTTAGTGGAGTTAACATTTGGATTATGATTGGTAATCCACAAAATTGTAGAAACATTTGGATTTCTATAGTTCCAAGCAAAAAGATATAATCTTTCAAATATCAACCTTTTAACCAATATATATAAACTGACTTTAGTTTGCCTATTGAATATTTCTTTTTAAAAATATAATTATATTTATGAAACTCAAGATCAGTGTTGAATTATAAGACTATAAATTTAGTAGTAAAAATAGTTTAATTTTAACTAAATATTTTGTTATAACAAAATGTTAATTTATATTTTGAATTGTTTAACGACGAAGCCACTTCTTAATTTTTTATATCAAACCCATTTGTTTGGAAATTCAGTGTAGCGGTAAAACCTTACTTCATTACACTTACAATTGGAATTCATCTAACATTCAAGTTTCGTTTTAGCCATATTCGATTTAGGTAAATGGATTGATAGAATTGTCATTCTAAAAACTTTGAGTTAGGGTTTGATTTGACATATACTCGTGTGTTGTGATGTTTTCTTATATAAAGACCCGAGTATTAAACTTTTTCATTAGTTATTTGGGTTGAATATGATTTTATATGGATCTTTTTTATTTTTATTAAATGGACATTAAACTTTCTAAATAAAGTAAATTATAATGGTTTTTTCATTAGATGCACGTTGATTTTTTAGGATATCCAACATTTGTAATATTTCCATGCAAATCTTATATTTATATTTGTTATTATTTTTAAACGTTTTGAATATTCTTTAAAACTAATTTTTAAATTTTGAATATTTTACAAAAGATCATGATATTATCTTAATTTTGTTATTATAATTTTGCCAACTGAAATATGTGAAAACATATATGCACGTAAATAAAATACAAATTTACGATAAAGTATGAATTATTAGATAAACGATTTGATCAATGTGATTTTGTTATTATAATTTTACCAACTGAAGTATTTGAAAACAACTTACCGGAGGCATACCAACAAAACAAAAAACAGAAAATGAGTTTTCAGCTAATAGAAATTAATATAATATTACCCATATAGATAAATATAATATCAAACTATTTATCGATTCAATAAATATATCCGGTGAATCATTCCAGATTTTGTTATTAATATATTAAATTATGTTATCTAATTAATTTTTTTATTAATATTAATATCACAAAAAATTATTTTGTCATGTCATAAATCACATGTATTAACAAATGTCATGTCACAATTACATCATCATTACACATCATGAAGTCACATTTAATTAAGATAGTCAAATGATTTTAACCAATCAAATTAAAATAAATCATAAATTTTCATTAAACTATATTCTCAGTTAATAAAATCAGGGCGGCCTTTTGCATTTTTGCTTTTCTTTTTTCTTAAACATTATATAGTAACTAATATACACGAATCATATTTTTGCTTTTTGTTGGGTAAAAAAACAAATAACACAATATGGGTTAAAAGGAAGCTGCAGCGATGTTGTTATTATTATTTTTTTTTAAAATAAGGGCTTATGTTGTTAGATTTTATATAATTATATTCATCTCAGGAGAATAATAACCTGATTTTTGTTATAAAAAAATCTGAAGTAATTCTAACTAAGAATATACGAATGATTATATTGGTCAATACTCACAAGATACACTGTAAATTTCCATTTTTTCCTTTGAGATTTTTTTCAAAGTGAATAATGAATAAATTTTCCTAATCCTTTTACAAATGAATTCTAAAACCAAGTACATATCGGTTCAGGATAGAAGAACTATCTAGAAATAATGGCGATTGCTTTGTGTTGTGTTATACCATTATTCACAAACCCTCGATCCGAGTACCTTTCTTAAGAAAGTTATTCTTTCCATAACCCTCATAAACACTAAGAAGTAAGAGAAGATGGCGGACGAATATGGAGATATGATTTACTTTGATCCCTACGACGACGAACTCATCAACAGCTATCTAATTCCCAAGTTGAAAGGTACGCTCGAAGAAACCTTCATATTGGACATGGACGTTTACGCCAAGGAGCCATGGTTGCTGCACCACACCGAGGATCCTTTTTTCAAGAAGGACGAGTGGTACTACTTCGTCACAAGGACTCAAGTCTCTGCCAAGAACAACGGTTGTGGTAAGAAGGCGAAGCGGAAGATCAACGATGACAACGATCGCGGGTGTTGGAAGGCGAACGCGAAAGAAAATATCATCGACTATAAAACAAGGAAGGTCATTGGGGTAAAGCAAACCCTAACTTTCACTAAAAGCAACGAAAACAAGAAGAGGCAGAAGAGAGGAGACGGTACTTGTTCATGTGCTATTGTCCCACGCAGCAACAACAGCTGGATTATGACAGAGTATATGCTTCCGGGAGGAGATCAGTTTCAAGAACTGGTCCTGTGCAAGATCCACGAGATCAATAAGTCCAAGAAGAAGGACGATCATCATGAAGCATCAACTTGTTGCCATCCTCATCATCTTGAGTCTTGTTCCTCGGAGCAGCAGCCGATCAATACTGATCACGAGTCTTCTCTAGAGCAGCAGCAGCCATTATCATGCGGTGGTAATGGACCCGAGATTCCGCACCTGGAAACGACGAGAAACATGGTTCATCAAAAAGATGCAGACTCAAAGATCGAGATGTTTCCAGAAAGATCAGCAGAGAAGGATGCACAAGCTGAAGACACGGAGTTGGAAGATTGGATTGCAGATCTGATGGACAAATTCACAACCAAAGAGATGGAAGCTATTGTCAACGACGATGTTCAACAAATACCAGAAGAAGATGATCAACAACGACCATTAATCACCGCTCTTCCTCAAACTAGTGCTCCTCCACCTCGTCTTGGCGATAACTCTCTACCAATAGAATTGGATGACGACGAAGACGAAGCTACAACTTATCATCATC